GCTTGGAATCTCATCGTTCACATCGGTTCACGCACGTGCGTTTCCATGTGTTGGAGTGCGTGAGGCGCGAGAGACAGGGAGAGAGCGGCAAAACGGAAAGCCTCGGAAAGCCGAATGACCGTCAAGTGACCCACTGAGGCCATACTGAGCGGTCCACAATGGGTCGAGATGGGGCTATCAGGGCCGTCTTCTTTGGCTCTAGAAGCCCTCCTCCCGCTTTACAAACATCCTCTTAAACGCACTGAAGTGGCGCTGTGTGGCGCCCTCTCGCCCAGATTTCCATGACTTTCCGTCGTGGCCAGAGGCCACACCACTGTCGTAGGACGTCGTAGGATCCCCCCGCGCCCTGGCCTGCCATGAAGATCGGACTTGGGAAAGGGAGAATTGCAAGTTTAGGAGGTCTGAGGTTTCAGGACCATACTCGAGGAAGAGTTCAACAGTTTCATCATTCTCGTTGTCAGGGATTTGGGAGGACTTGCTGAGAGCCTCGAACCGTCCTTTCTGGCAGAGTGGAGCATCCCGCGCGTGACTTTCAAAGCTTTGAAAAAACAACCTCTGTTTGCCAGCCGTCGTTCAGGGGTGCCTTCCTGAAGCCCCGAAGCTTCCGCTGAACCGAGGGATTCCAGGGGGGGTCGGGCCGCAGTGTTTTTCAGCGTTGCAGATGTCATAGGGTGAAGGGGGGTGAGTGGGCTGCTAGAAGAATCTATAAGACTTGGGTTGATTTGTGTATTGAATTTTGCGTTGGGAGAAGGGCGGGATTGCACCGGTTCAGGGGTGGCGTGGCCCAAAAGGGCTTTCGGGTTAAGGTGTTGGGGGCCGGGGTGTAGGCATCATTCTGACATGCAGGCGCAGGCCAACTGCGCACCCACACCATTTCTTGCTCGGACCACCATCATGTCTGGTCAACATGCAAGACTTTACATACGTACTGCAGGAGTCGGCGTGCCAATGCCATGTACCGCAACTACGGCACACACTCACATTGCAACAGTTACGTGCCCATTCTGCACCGAAGACCGGAAGTGTGTTTTTGAGAATGCAGCTGAGCCGGCGGAAACCATGGCCGGAAGGTGGCGGAGGGGGAAGGAAGTGTCTCAGGACAGACTTTGAGAGCAAAATCGTGTGGCAGCGCAGGCACGTGATTCATATGATGGCTATTTGAATCTGAGAAAGCATTGTGTAGGGAGCAGCAAAGTCAGCAAAGTCAGCACCTGGAGCAATCACGTGCTTCAGAATATCTCCGCTGACCTCCTCCTGCCTCAGTCGAGCTTCTGATTGGCCTCCCGAGAAAAAAACACAGACCTCGCAGCCTGCCTGGATCATCTAGACCCTATAGCTCAAGGGCAACAAATCTAGAGGCCTGTAAAACCCTAAACCCTAAACCCTAAACCCAAAACCCTCAGAACTGGGACGGCGCAAAAGAGCCGACAGCTTGAGGAAGCCGGCGCGGCTGCGGCCGGAGGATCCCAAAATGACGGCCACCCGGGCTTTGAAAGAGTCTCAAGCCCTTTGCTCACAAAGGAACCCCGAGCTTTGAAGAAAAGTTAGGGGGGGGAGGGCTTCGGGAGTTTTGTTCAGGATTCAGGGTGCCTATGGGAGGCATCCTCCGACATCCTCAGACTCAACTCAGGACCGGCCGAGGCCGAGGCAGACAAGGCCCAACGCGAGGACTCGCCCGAATTGGGGGGGGGGGCTGCTTTGGGACTTTGGTGCCCCCTTGGTATCTCTTGGGTATCACCAGCTTCGCCGTAGTTCGGCTACCCCCCCCCCCCCAACTGTTTTTTTTTGGGGGGGTGGGGGTCCAAGATGAGTTCCGAAGCTTGCGCAAGTTGTGGTGCCTTCTTAGAGGCCAGAAGAGTTGCAAAGCTTTCCGAGTGCCTGAATTGAAAGCATGGTCAGTGCTGTGGCGAAAGATTGGTGAAAGATGCCTCCAAAGACTGTGCACTTTCCGGGAGAGCTCTGATGGTATGCGCTGTGGATATGCAACCTGGTTCCTGGTGGTCGAAGGTGAGGCTCCCAACAACCTGGGGCCCTACTCAGCCCTACTCACCTACACATTAGTAGCAAGTACCCCTATTTAGTCGGTATAACCCTTAAAACTGTAGGAAAACAGGATCCCAGGAATTCATTTGCGATTGTCTTCGGCCCTCAGTTCTGGTTCGCAGGAGCCTGCCGCAACGCAGCCTGCTGGTGCAGGCCCCGCGGCAGGGTCTTGCCCGTTGAGGATCTATAGGGCTTACTGGCTTACTGTAATGAATTCGAACCTCTTTTGCTTATCTTCGGGTCACGACAGCTACGAGCGGAACTCGTCCCGTGCATGACACGCCTTTTCGTGTTTCGATTGTCTGGACGTGGGACCCTTGCCGATGCACACCAAATTCACTGTAGAGCGCTGTGAAATTTTTTGGGTGGGCGAGATCCTTTGGATCTCAAGTTGGTGCGAGCCAGCCAACACTCGGCAACCTCGCTATTGAAAGCAGGATGCTGGGGGAGCTCCCGAAGAAAACTCACCACCTCACCCCTCTCAGCATTCCTAAACCTTAGGTTGCCCCACATCTCCCACTTTGATAGAACCCTGAAGCTCTATGACACCCACTGAAACCCTCTAAAGTCTGTGCCCCCCGCGGGCGCCTCTACTTCTAAAAGGTCCGGGCGGCGAGAGCCGCTGGCGACGCAGCACTGCTGCGACCGAGGCAGAGCCGCCAAGGACTCCGCACTGCGCGGGCTTCCGAAGATTATTGGGTGGTTGTCAAAATGATGGTCCCTTTTTGGATCCCTATTAGAATACGGCACCCAATATTTAGGGTACCCGCAAAGGGATCATAATGTTGACAGCCACCCTATTATGGTTGAAGGGGGTCGTTTTGACATGCTTCACGGAACCTTTTTGGTGTGCTGAAAGCATAGTGTCTCAGACAGGATCTGCAGATACTTGAACTTCACACCCCAAGCCCGAAGGAACAAGGTGTCTACACTTCTCCGGGATACCGCACAGCGACGCAGGGCCACAACCGCACGCCGACCCTATGCAAACCTTTTTTCAGGAGACTAACTTATGAATGCAAAGGAGCCCTCTGAACAAAAGCAAAAAGCCCTATGACATAAACCCTTCAGCAAAGCCAGCCACACACCTAGGAAGCCTGCCCTTGCTCCAAGTTCCAGGGCTTCCTGCTTCTTCACAGGGCTTCCCGTTCAAAGGTTCTATCAATTCACCAACAAACATGGCCAAAGCAGCGGAGAGCGATCAAAATGTGGGGGGTCCCATATGAGGACCCTGGCTCCCGGCTCCTTCGTTACTTTGCGCTCCGGGCTCCGGGTGCCCGTCCTCGGCCTCGGCACACGGCAGCTGAAGGGCGCGGAGTGCCGCGAGGTGGGGGGGGGAAGGGAGAAGGTGGGTGGAGCGGGAGGAGAGATCCCGAGGCCATGGGGCATGGGGACTTTGGGTTTATGACGTCTTGGGGATGCTGTGCCAAAGGAAAGGGCAGTAAAAAAGCCATTGCGAGGTTGAGCTCCATCGCAACAGCCCAGGCCGTTCGCATCGCCCTGCGCTCTGGATATCGGCTCATTTGACACGGCGCCGGGCTTCGGGAACGAGGAGGCGCCATCGCTTCAACATCCTATCATCCGGACGCCTCTGGCAGAATCTAAAGCACAGTATTTCTGGAACCCAACACGGCAATGTCAGGAACTCTCCATGCGAGAAAGCCCGCACATTTACATTTAAGCCCTGCAAGGACATCGCCAATGGCATTCGCGCAGCAGGCCTTCGCCGCGAGGATGTCGGAGACCAAGAGAGAGGGAATCTCGGGGCCCTTCAGGGCTCTCTCAATGTCTCTCTTTCAGCTTCGACAAAGTTTCTTGATGGATGCTTCATTGCTCAGGGGTTTTGAAGCGCCTTCCTGCATATTGGTTAACCATCTTCTACAGCATGCACTTCGAGCCTGTCTGCTTAGTGTGGGGGGGGGGGGGGGGTTCTCTACACTGTAACAAGAAAGAAAGGTTAAACGACGAGAAGTCGAAAGCCATGAAGGGCACGCCAAAAATCTTGGTCCTTTTTCGAGAAATAGCTTTGAAGAGCAGGGTCCAGCAGGCAGACTCATATTGGAAAGCATACCACTTCTAGGCAGGCAGGAGAAGCCCCACAATCCCTGCGCCGGCCGCAGAGGCCCAGATTGCGCCTCTAGGTGTCCCGTTTTTTGGAAGCATCCAAACCGCAAGGGGAGCACGTCTCAACGGCTTTTTCAAGAGCGAGGGAGTGGGATCTAGCGGCACTTTTCTCCAATTTTTACGAAGGCTTGAGTCAGGGCCGAGGGGTGCTACAGTAGTGGGGAGTTATAAGACCCCCGCGATGGAAGTGCCCTGTCAGGTCTTCCTGGTATCGAAGCTTTCACCTGCTGAGTGCCTCTGCGGAAGCTGAGAAGAGGGAGCCAGAGTTGAAACGACTGAGGCGAAACACAACTAACCTGAAGACCCCTAAAGCACATGAAGTCAACTGTGGCCTCGGCAGTTCTTCCTACGTGGCTCCAAATGCAATCTCATTTGAGTTTTTCTAGCAGATCTGCAGGCGCTGCTTGAAAGCCTCCAGCGCCAGTTAATTTTTCATGGGGGGGGGAGGACTTGTAACCAAGATCATCAAAGCTCCCAAGCACGGCTTAAAACCCCCCCCCCCCCAAACCAAGGCACGGCGACGCGGAGGAGGTCGAGGAAGCGTTGCGCGGCTCCCTCCAACGCCTGGGGACCAACTACTTGGAACCTTGGCACGTTTCCCTTCTAGACACCCTAAACCCTATAAACCCTAAACCCTAAACCCTCTCTTTCAGCCTAGTTCTGGGGCAGCTTGCTGTCCACATGTTTTTTTTTGCGATAGGCGTCGAAACGTGTAGAAAGCTCTTCAGGGAGGCAGAGAGTGAGAGCCTACAAACCCACGGCTGCAGGACCTCTTCCTCATCCAGAGCCCCAAAGGGGGAAGCATCATCTGGACTTGGGACGCGGTCTTGGCCATGAGGGAAAGGCCACAACCATGCCGAATCATTCCAGGAAATTCTTGGGCAACGTGGTTGTTCGAGGCTGAGAGCACTAGAACACTTCAGTACATCCGCCGGTCTGTCCTGCAACAGAAGGCAGGCCATCAAATGGAGACCTCCATTCCAAGATCCCAAACAAAATCAGTCTGTTCAGGCTTCGCGGAATCCTACCCAAAGGCAACAAATGCTTCAAGGGAGGCAACACAAACCACCTTTGAATCCTGATTTCGCAGGGGCTTGGCCCGTGCCGTCGGAGTCTGTCCCATGGCTTTATCCCGCCGGGATGGTGCAAGCTCCAGGGTCCAGATTCGGGGATTCACGCCTTCAGACCGTCACTTTGGGCATGCGCGCAAATCTGGGAATATGCTCTACTACCTCATGGTCCCTTAATTGGGTACCTTTATAGGTGCCGTCGGTATGTAGAGACGTCCCTCACCATTCTGAGACATTTTGAGAAGCCAAGGCCCGGGAAGCATCGGAAGCGGCTCGTATTTCTTGCGAACCTTTGATGTGATGCGGAAATGCTCCGAGGCAACTTCTCGGCAGGGCACATGTCGCGCCTGGCCGCGACCGGACGCGAGCTTCCTGAGGTGCGCCAGCCTTTAGCCCGTTTCACGGTTTTGGGGATTGAGGTGGCGGGATGTTGCAGGTGGGGATGAGCTTGGCGTGTGCTCATCAAGGCCGAAGAAAACTCGGCTTGGGGTCTGAGGGGCAGCAGTATTCGGTGCAGCTTTCCGCTTTGGCTTCCCAGAGGTGCTACAGGTGGAGCTTCATTTGGCCCAGCAGCAGCGGGAGCTCGCTGCCTACTGCGCCGGCAACGGCATCCGCGTCATGGCGGGGCGCGCGCGAGAGAGAGAGAGAGAGAGACTGAACTGCGGACAGCACGCACCCCTGGGGGCGTCCTCCCTTCGGGGGGGTCATGCGTGGGGGAGAGGGGGAGAGAGAGAGAGAGAGAGAGAGAGAGAAAAAAAGAGAGAAAGAGAGAAAGAGAGAAGGAGAAAAAATGAGAAGCACCTGACGCACTAAACCCCAAGCTGGATTCCAGGCCGCCTCGCCGCTGGCTCGTGGCCAGCCACCTGGTTCAAAGCCTTGTATACGGCCATACAACTTAGAGAGGAGGGAACTTTGGGGGCATTCTAGGATACTGGATAGCTACAAGACAAGCCCTTAAGCAACACGAAACCCTGCTCAAAAACAATCTCCAGCCCCACAGAAAAAGCCCACTGAGGCTCTGCCGTGCCACTGGCAAGCTTCCTGCACTGCAGGATCTTGCAGGCCTCCCCAAGAACATGTCTTCATAGCTGTCCATTTGGGTTTTTGCGTGTCAGTTTGCATGCTCTACCATGGGGTATGCGCAGCGTCCATTAAGAAATATGAAGCAGGAGCCAGCGCGCCCTTCCCATGCGCCATGCGCACCCTCTGCTGCCCGCCACCGCTCCGAAGGTGTGGCGACCAAGAAGAGCCGGAGTCTAGCGGAGGTCGCCGTGCGCTGGTGCTTGCAGCAGGGTTCCCTGCCTCTAAAGTGCAGCAAATCCCATATTGTCCACAAAAAGACTTTAGAATCATTGCAAAATGTGTGGGATGGCTTTAGAATATCCTCGTATCCTTGTAGTATCTTGTAGTCCTGTGGCTCTGCCCAAAATTGCCCTCAGAGGGCTCTCAGGTTTCATCGCCCTGCCCAAGAGCAAGGTGCAGGGCCACCTCGAGGCCAACGCAGCCTTCGGCTTCGAGTTGACCGCGCCGGACGCTGGGAGTTTAGGGTTGAGAGTTTTTAGGGTTGAGGGTTTATAAGGTTGAATGTAGGGTGTGCCCCAGAAGCCCTCTTCTGCAGTCACTGGCACACCCCATACACCCCTACGACGGAGCGAAGCTCAGGACATGAGCGCCCTTCAGTGTCTGGACTCCCGCTTTTCAGTGACCTCGTCGGCGCAGTGCCTGGAGCCTCGCCATGAGGATGTTGGTTGTGCGCAGACGTACACACAGCCCAGGGTCCTTGAGCCTTTCAATTTACATTCTTAAATAAGCCTTACGGTCAAGTTGTTCAGGCCCTTTGTGGGATGGAGGCGTCTGCAACTCAACGCGCGTCGGGGCACGGGCTCACACAACCCACGCAAATGTACGCCCACACACTGGCGGTTCCGGTTTCGCTCTTGAAACGCGAGCAAAGAAGGTCCTAGGACATAAGCCCCCGTGTCTGCCCAACGCTTCCACCTTGGCTCCATGCTCGGGCTGCTAAGGCCCGCACATGGCACTTCTTTTCATCCGACGGCCCGAACTCCATGAAACCGCCTCTCCCTTTCTTCCCGGCCTCCGAGGAGTTCCCCTGGGAGCAGGCTGTGGCAGAGCACTCTGAGGCACATGGAGTTGTTTCTTACAACTGCTTTTTTTGGGGGGGGCGCTTCTCCTTTCTGAGAATTTGCTGCTGCCCGCCGGTGTGCTGTTTTCTTTTTCAGGGCCTGTGTTATGTTGCAGGCTCCCGGGACCACTCAAGTCACTTCAGCCTTGAATTCCGAAGTCCTTCTCAAAGCAGAAGCCCACGGGCTGCGAGTTTAAGCTCCGAAGCCGCGAAGTGGAGGTCAGCGATGGCGATGTTGGTGAGGAGAGACCTCGCCGGCGCCGGCGCCGCCGCCGGAAAGGCAAAGGCAAAGGGTCCCTTGTCAGAGTTCAGACCTTCACTCACGGGAATTTCGGAGGATGGGTTCAGAGGGTGCTGGGGCGGGAAGGAACAACATATCCAGGCATGAAGCCCTGCAGCCCTCCACGTCCTTTTCCTTGGCTTTGTGTCTTGAGGGAGGTCGGCCAGTTCACGCCGAAAATTCCATGAGTAGCCTAGTCGCGATCCATGAAGAGAGTAAAAAGATGCATCGGGATTTGCTTTGGCCACAACAGGGATCCTAAAACCCCAACCAGCCCCAAAACACACACAACAGCCACAGCTGCCCAAGAGACCCCTTCCCCTCACCTAAATAGCAGGATGTACTGAACAGGAACCCTGAATTCCTCCCTGAGCCCTTTGAGGAAAGGGAAGGGCGGCCAAGAGGGCAAAGGGGGAAGCCGTGCGCCCACATCCGGCACGGCGGCGCAGCGGGCAGCGAACACTCTCTTCGGCTTGAGCTAGACTTCAAAAAATCTGGGCAGCTCTCTCTCTCTCTCTCTCCCTCTCCCTCTCTCTCTCTCTCTCTCGTGGTTTTTTTGAAGGATGTGTGGCTCCTCCAAAGACATGAGCCCGTGGGTGCCAGGCAAAGCTTGAGCAATTTGAGCACCATGCAGCAGTCTGGATTTGAGTCTTGCCGAGTCCTGCAGTGCGCCACGGCCATTGCGACCCGCTCTTCTTGGCCCAGTCTGGAAGGTATCAGGTAGCCAAGAGACAAGAATACCCGTGCACCTTTCGCCTTTGGAATTTTTTTTCAGAATTCACATGTCACAATCTCATCAAGCCCATGCCTAGACTCCAAAATCTGGCGCGCCTTCCATGCACCCGAAATCTTCACCCAGAAGCTCTGCATGCCTTAAACTCTGAGTGCCAGGTCTTGCATCAGAACACCCTCCTAAACCAGGCAGGGTTTAAAAGCACGGTCGCTCAATCCAACCATGGCGGCGACGAGGCACGTGGGCCCTCTCCCAACCTTGAGCTGTTCTGAGCTTGAAGATCCGCTGACAATTGGAGTATATAAAGCCGTGACGTGCGGGTGGTCGCTTTTGGGCCTTGGGGTTCTATAGGCTTGAAGTAGAGAGCATCTCGGGAAGCGGGGTGGAGGGATGGCTTTGGCGAATAAGCCAGAGTGAGAACACCGTCCTACAACCTCTGCAAGCCTGTTATGATGCCTACGATTGATCCCTCGCCATGAGACACCCAAGCCCCAACCTCCAGGGTCTGGAGCCCTTGTTTTCGCATGCAAGGGTTTCTAGAGCGACCAAAACCATGGGAGTAACAGCCGAAGGATCCGCTCAAACTCTCTCCAACACCTTTCGGGCCAGTCTGTGAGTCACAAAGTTCTCCCTGAACTCTTTCTTTGAAGTTCTGCCCTAAACCCTCCAAAAGCATGTCGAGTGCATGTTGAACCTTTCCTTGGCGCAGTGGGTACAGCTGGCTTCTGGCTTTGGGGGTTGTTTTTGGGGTGACTATGGCCAAACCTGAGAGCCTGAGTTTCCTGTTATTTCGCGAACCTTAACCTTAGCTTCCCTTAACTTCGTTCTCCCAACATGGCTCCCAACCTCCCCCCCCCCCCCCCGAACCCAACGAAAGCCCTGTGAGCTTTCTTGCGGAAGTCTTGGAGAGGAGGCTCCTGGGGGTCTCGGGCGCTCTGCTGTGCACGGGCCTGAGTCAGCGGAGGCCCGCGCCGACTATTTGGGGAAAAAAGCTCCTTGCATCAGGGGGCCAGTAGCTGAGAGCTGCTTTGGGGTTGCAGGGGATTCAGGATCCAGACTTCAGGGCGGAGGCTTCTCAGGTCTCAACGGTATCTTGGCCCTCTGCTTAGAGATACGAAGCACCCGATTCTCCGGCTTTTGCCCTGCAACTTGGGACAGAAAAGCTCAGGGGTGTCTGTGAAGGGCTTCATGGGCTCAGGCAGGTGGAGGTGGCGAAGCCGCTGAGGTTCCTCGAGGGTGACGAAAGCACACGTCAGACATAGGCTTGCGGCCCTTGAAAGCCCGACGCCCAAGTCAAATTTGACCGTAAACGCCTACGAGTCGCAACATTGGCAAAAACACAATCAGCTCAGGAGTTTCACCGAAAACCAAAAACTGGTCTTGGGCTCAGGTCAGGTCTTGCTCTGCGCGCTGTAACCCCTGCACCGACAGACATAGACCCCGAAGCCCCAGAACAGAAGCAGACTGGGCGGTGGCAGGCGATTCGTCAACTGCGGCTCTCCGAAGGCAGGGGGAAGAATACAAAGATTCCAAATACATGATCAGCAACGACTTTTAATGGCAGTATTTTGGGAGCTCCTGTCCTGTCTTGGAGATGTATCAAAGAGCGCCCACACTCACGAGCCAGGTAGCGAGCTGCATACCTGTTCCATTGTTATCTAAGAGTCATAGCGAGGGTCTGGGTAGTTATATCTAACCTTTCAAGTGGGCTGTGGAAGTATCTTCCATTGCACTTTGTCCCACAAACTCCCCCCGCATGCAGGCAGCACCAAACTTGACCGCGCGCTTGGAGCAGGGCCCCAAGAGTGGACCCCAACACATAGGACTCCCAGGAATCAGCGCACTCCTCTTCGGCTTCTTGGCGTTTGAAGCCTCAGAGATCCGCCCTCTCCAAGCCTTCATGTGATCCCGCTGGAAGGCGGGACATGGCGACCTTGCTGAGCCAGCAGCCCGCCAAGGCAGTGAGCAGCGCCAGGTTGAGCGCAGACTGGAGTCCACATAGGCCTATGCTGGAGGTCATCAAAAGCATCGTAAAGAGAGTCTTCTCGTGCCACTTCGACGCTCCAGTGTTTTGGTGCGGGGTCGAAACGTCGAAGTCGAAGCGCCACAGGTCATGGAGGAAGCGGTGATGGCGCAAGTTTACCAGAAAGTACAGGAGATGGCGCATGTTTGGGATGCCGATCGTTGGAATGTAGGAATTGGGACTGTGGATAGTAGGAATTGTGGTTTGACGGGCGGGGTGGGCTCGGAGAGAACATCGGGCAAACTGATGCAAGAGCGTACCCAGCCAATATACGAAGCCTAAGAGGCGGACCTAATGGCTTCAACCATGCAACAGCGAATCCCTCAAAAGATTGCGCGAGACGGCTCTCTGCACTCCAACCCGTGATGAACCGAGTGCCCGAAACTCTAAATCGGAGCTGGACCGTTTCCTCGAATTCCCCGTGCTTAACAGGAGCTCGTGCGGCTCGTCGACGACTTGGCCAGCAAATCCCAGGCTCCGTCGTTTTAGCTGTTTAGCTTGTTTGATTGAAGGGAATGCGGGCAAAAGAGGGGGGGGGGGTCGAAGCCTTATACATCCTTTGGCGCGCCCGCTCCCCGCCCCCACCACCCTGGCCTTCAAAGCTTCGAGTTCTATCCCTTAAGACTCAGCTTTTACCGTAGACACTGTAGCTGGGGGCCTGCCTCAAACGCTTTCAGCATTGGCTCTGATTCCCCTGTTGAGTGTCTTTAAGTGTGTTCGGGACGGTTTGCTTGGGTTCAGGGTTTGGGCCTTTGCGCCAGTTTGAAAGTTTGGTGCATGTCCGGAACTTTCGCATCACTGGGGGCCTAAGAGTTTGCAACGCACAGCCCGACCTTCAACGCTGCTCGGGATGTATCGGGTCAGTTCATGTCGGCTCTATATGAGAGCTCGCAGTGGCAAATCGGCGGCGGCTGACATCACATTCATTACACATCCCTCTTGATTTCTTTGCGGCTTCATGCGGACAAGCCCACTCGCAGGCAGAACTTGACGAACCTGATTTTAGGCCAGCAGCTGGACTAGAAAAAAGGTTGACTGCTCCACGGCCCTCTGTAAAGTTGCTTGTGTTGGATTGCTGACACTAAAACTGAGTCTCGGAACGACTTTCGCATGCGATGGGGCAGCAGATGTGTCAACAAGAATCTGTATGCTGCAGCGCTGAGACGTGCAAAGTTGACATCGCGTCTGGCCTGCATTGTGTTGACTCGAAGAGTGCTTGGTTAGTTTCGGGCCTATAGGGCTTTTGTCGCACAGGACGTGTTGTCAGCTTCAGAGAGACTTGCTTCTCCTTGAGAAGCTGTCGTGCCATGAGTTCAGCTGTCCTGCATACCTGCACACCTGCGTGGAGCAATGGCACTTAAAACCCTACAGCTCCTAAGCCCGGGTGGGGAAGCCCAGGACAAGCTGGCCGATGGTGCGCCCATGGAGGGACCTGCAGATGCGGAGTGTCCTCAGCCCTCGGCTCAGCTGCAAGAAGGCTCATTTCTGGGAAGAGATTCATACATAGATAGCCTTGAATCAACCCCTCGAAGTTGCTTGATGGCGCGCTATAAGAAGCCGCGGCAGCCGGAATGCGCCCTCAGCACTCCCAAGGGCAGTAAGCGCTTGTGAGCTGTAGCTCTTTCAGTGAAAAAGCTGGCATACACGTAGCTTTCTATAGCTCTTTCAGTGAAAAACGTGAAAAACTGGCATATACGCAGCTTTATACCATAAACCCTGAACCCTCAGCCCCTGAAGGTTTCCGAGCCCTGAGAGTCAATTCGGGTTTCGAGCCTTAGGTGCCCACCCTCGGATGCTTCGGGTTCAGCAAGCTACCTGGAAGAAGGCGGTCGGGCTGCGACAACGGGCTTTTTTGCATGTTGTTGTTGCTTTTGTCTTTTTTTTTTGGGGGGGGGGGGGGGGGGGGGGGGGGGTGGGGGGTTGGGGGACTGCTCTTCCGCATTTTCTTTGGCATGATGGGGGGTGTCTCTTGGGAAGCCCTTCGGGGCTGCATGGGCTCAGGCCGACGCAGCCTTCTACGTGCGGGGCGGAGGGAGCTAGAGGTTTGGTGTCGATGGCTTCGGCAGTTTGAGGATTTGAGGAGTTTTTTTGGAACACGTTGGCGAGGGCTCTTAAATAGAAGCTCGAAGAGCTTGTGGGAAATGTGATAGCTCCGTGAAAACAGAAGGCAACACAGGGGCCGCAATCAGTAGTGCCAGCATTGACTCAAAAAGAGAATCCCTAGAGAATCCCTATAAGTATGATCCCCTTATAATCCCCATGCAAGTATATCAACAAACAACACAGGGGGCCAAAGAATCCCTAGATGCCCCATAAGAGTCTAACAGCAAACAACTAGGAAGCCTGAAGTCTAGTTTTATAAGGTTCTTAAGAGAGGGGGGGGCTTCAAGGGGGGTAGGTACCTAGGGGAGTCTTTAGGGAATATTGGGTTTACATACCCCCCTTGGACCCCCCCTCCCTTAAGAACCCGATAAGAGTCAAAAGCAAGGGGGGCCCTGAAGGTGCGCAACTAGGTGGCCTCTTCTCGGTCGATGCAGCGTGCTGGCTCTGATTCAGGGTGGTTTTGGGCTTTTCCCTGTGCTTGGGGGGGATACCCCCCTTTCCTGGAGAGGGTTAGGTCGTTTAGGGTCTTTCGGGGAGTCGGGGAGTGGGAGGCGGTTGTGGTTCGGAATCTGGGGCTGTTGTGCACAAAGGTTGGGAATTCCAGGCCGGCGCAATGCAGCTGAAGGCTTGTAGGGGCTCAGTGGTTTTACGCTCCCGGGCCCAAAGCAAAACAACCTTTTGCCAACTGGAGGCCGAAACTAAGCCCCGGAGTGAGGAATCCATCTGAATGTTTAGGCCCTTTGTGAATCTCTTGGCACGGGCCATTGTCAATGTTTCGAAAGCCATGGACACAAAAGAGGTTCAGGAGTTATGATTATGAGGGGGGGGGGGGGGTTTGTGACTGTATAAACCCGCCCTATCCGGAGCCCAATGCCCCGAATGTTTGAGGAGACGGTCCGGTTTGTTTCTTTGGCCTCCACCTTGCAGTCTGGCGGGTGGATGTGGCGTGTGCGGCCAGAGAAGATGATGCCAGGGCTGCATCAAGCAAAACCCTTGAAACACCAAGAGCAGGAACTCTAAAAGACCACAGACCCAGAAGCCCTTGTTTGGAATAGAACAATCAACACAAGCCGGCAGATTGCATGATTCCCATAATCCAGTGAAAGCCAGGAACCACACAGAGCTGCTGAGCTTGTGGGCGAGATCTACGCAGACAGATGCCTTCGACGTCTTTGTCTCACACACCTGGTCAACGCCTGGGCACTGCAAATACCTGTCCCTTTTACTTAGTTCGTGTTGGCACTATGCGCTTGCAGCTTGGCTGGCGACAGCAGTGCCACTTCTGTTTCTGTACTGGAATCGCGCACTACCTTTAGTGGCTATCTACCCGACCACTTTCGACAGCTTTGAGCTCAGAGTTCCCTACTGGCCATGGATACAGCCGGCGACGTTTTTGGCCGCAGCTGCTGCCCTCTTCCTCGCGCCGCACTGCATCCTCCACCGGTTCTTCACAACCCGCTGCTTCTACGACGCTTTGCTGTCTTTGAGACCTTGAGATGCACCGACCTCAAGATGCACACTTCCCCCCCCCCACATTATAAGAGAGTCCCAACCCAAAAAAAAACCACGACCTCCCTCTCTCAGCACTCTTAGCCCCTCCCCCCTCCCAACAAAGGACGTGGTCTGCGTGAACCAAGCGGATCCCTGGGAGCAGAGGCAGGGGATCAACAGCATCGCCGGGCTCCTGGCCGCCTCCAAGCAGCTGCGCATCCTCTGGAGCCCCAGCTACCTCTCCCGCCTCTGGTGCGCGCCATGGCTTTCTCTTTCAGCTTCCTTTTAAAAATCCTGTATGTGTTCTGAGTATCCCTAGATTGAGTCGACTACGAAACCCTATACTGCAGTGCATCTTGAGCAAGAGCCCACAAGAGCAGAATCCGAGACTTCTCCGAAAGCCTGAACATGGGGCCTCCAGTGATTTAGCCGATTTAGGTGTCGGGTGTAGAAGGAATTGTCAGGCGCTTCCTCGCGGATCTTGGTGATCGTGTATGCTTGGGTACCTAGTCGTACAATATCTTCTTGGGTGCTTCAGCACATACGCAACGCAACTCAACTTGCAAATTGGGTCGGCTCAGCTTCGGCAAAAGCGTGCGCCCTCCCCTCCTGCTTCGCCGGTCAGAGATTCGAGGTCTTCGAAATCGCCGCGTACCGCAAGGCCAATCCCCATGGCGAGCTGCGATTCCAGCCGCTTTTTGTGGAGCGCGCTGCTGGGCTTAAGAGGTGACCCACAACAATCCACCGTAATCCACCCCCCTTGACCCAGGAAGAGCCCTGATTCCCCGCAAGCTTACACAAAAGACGGGGATCTGGGAATGAGGCCCACTGGCAGGATGTTGTTTTTTCTTTGCATTGAGCTGTCAGACTTCGGAGCATCCTTTGTAAGGGCTCGGCCTGCATGTCAGGGAAATGGTTTTAGGAGATATAAGGGGCTCAGGACATTCTCGTGTTGTGGACATGCGGCTTCTTGGCTGCCGTCCTCTTCTCTGCGATGCTCAGCGCCATGCCGGAAAGCATTCCTGTAGGGTTTTTTGGGATAGAGCCAGGGCAGACTCCTGAATTTTCTTGTTGGCTTTCGGCACTCCCGGGCTGAGCCATCACGAGGGTTTGTGTCCAAAACAGTGCTTGTTCAAGCATCTGCTGGGGAGAGGTAGCTTCACCTACTCTTCGGTGCTACTTGGCGCGATCCTCTGCTTGGTCTTCCTCCCCGGCGCCCACTTTGTTCGGCGGGGATACCGGGAGCAGGACACAACAACAAGATTCCCACCCCCCCCCTGGCTTTTGAGGATTTACCCCAATTTAAGAGTTTCAGTATTGGAGAGGTGCAAATTCTGAAGCTTTCGGACTTTCGGGATGTCCCGCTCGAATTTTGACTTTGGCGTCTTCTGGGGAGCCTTCAAGAAGCAAAAAAAGCGGCCTCAGTAAGAAAAGGGCTGCTAGGCATAATATGACTCAAAAGGCACGTGCCCGCCGCCCGCACGAGCGCTGAAACTCTGCGCCGCTGGGCGCGCGGCTGCGGGGTTGTACGTGGTCTTGTATGGTTTGTATGTGATTGTATGTCTTGTGCTTCGCGCAGTATTTCACCGAAGCCCCCCGTTTGGAAGGCTTTGGATTCAGAATGCCAGAGTGGAACCAGGCCTCATCTTCAGCCCCCCTTATCCCTCCTGCAGGACCTGCTGCTTCGGAATCTTGCAGAGTTTGATCTCAGCGCGGTGTCCTGTGCTTGCGACTTCGACAGACAGCCACCTATCTCTCACAAAGCAGAAAGGTTCAAAGAGTTTTAGGTCGCTACCGTTGAAGAATGTGAGGAGGGCTCGAACTACCCGAGCGCAAACTGAAACCCCAGAGCCCACAATATCGGGGTCGGAATACTTACGAATAAGCTTCCCTTATGATCCCTTATAAACATTATGCTATAACACGGTCCAAACTTCAAAGTTGTAAGCCCTTTTGTGGCCGGCTCAGGTTCATCTTGTCGGCGGTGCGTTCTTGGTATGGAAGCACCGATGCCTTTGTAGAGAACACAGGCGGCATGCAGAGGTCTGGGCTGTTTTTTGTTTGATTTGGGGCCTCCGGCACTGACTTGAACCTTGGGACATGTTGTACGTCCCCTTATGGGGCTCAGATCTTGCCTTGAAATATTTTGGAGAAGTAGGTTATGTTCATTTGATTTCAGGATCTGCGGGCTGCGGTTTCAACTTTTGGCATTCCCGATCGCTCACAGGTATGAACTCCCCTCTACCATCATTGGACCCCTCCAGGGAGCGTACCCGGAGTTTACCCGCAGTTTACCCGCAGGTTTACGCTTACTGGTAGATCCTAGAGTAACACACGTCGAAATGTTCATCCTGCTTGTGCAAGTGGGGTTCCACCCTTCATCAAGTCACCAAGAGTGACTTCGGAGTGGAACTGGTTTGCGTGTGATAAGCTCAGTAATTAGACACTAGCACGGCAGGCCCTCTTTGACCCCACTCCCTGACCATGGATCTGTGGTGTGTTAGGGTATTGAGGGCTTACAGGTTATGCTGTTTTCCTGCTGAGTTGGATGCCAACATGCGCCTCCGAGGTATGTCCGCGGGCCAATCAGGGAGGAGCTGGTGGAAACGATGCAGCAGAGCCGAGTGCCGTTTCAATATTGCTCCTTGGGTGTGTGATTCAATAGCCATCAATCGTGGTTTTCTTTCGTGCGCTGCGTCTTGCGGCTCTAATATACTCATCATGCTCACGACGCTGTCTCCTATAGCTCGTGTCGCAATGTGGCTGTGAGTTTTTTTTCCGGGCTTGTAACAGGCACCGGGGGGTCCCTCCGCGACAAAGGTTTGTAACAGACGTGCCGTGTCCGCGACAACCCTCCCCGCGACAAGGCTACAACCCCCCCCCCCCGACAAGAGAGCAATACCATTGAATTTTCTCATTGCCAATCTCGATGCGACCTTGATGCGTGTCTGCAGCAACTTTCACTCTAAGTCCGCGACAAGGCCTGCGACAGGGCGCGACATACCCGCGACAACCCGCGCGACTGCTCGAGCCAGCAGGTGCCCATCCGTAGGACAACCTTGAACGAGAAGCCCAGTGTTTATATTTAATGGCTCTCCGGTAAAATCCCCGAAGCCCCAACCCTAAACCTAAACCCTTTACCCTAAAGTTGTTTCTTTGCTTCTTTCGTTCCTATTGGTGAAGATGGTCCATCTTTTCGAGCCGACCATCTGGACAGTAAGCGCAAAACCCGGAACCCGACACCCGAAGACAGAGACTTTCACAGCGTTGTGAAACTGAGGCATTCTGGCGCTGAGTCCCATCTTCGGGTTCCAGCTCGATGTGTTCGGTGCGCTGATCAATGCCCGTGCGCCCCAGAATATTGCCATCAAGTTCTTGGGACAAAGCATCACCATCCTCGCGGTCGCCGTGTGGGGGGTGCGGCTCTTCTTCTGGTTGTCACAGAAAATGGCCCAGCCAATCTTCAAGCTGGACTTCTTGCAAACGGCTCTGGTCGTTCTCATTTGGGCAGTCATGCAGGTGATCCCTTTCTGGTCGGTGCTCAGAGCGTTCCAGACAGATGAGGGCGGTGTAGCTGCAGCTGCCGTGGTCTTCACCCTCCTCGCGGCCAGCAGGCTGCCGGCGTGCAAGACCATGCTGTCTAAAGTAATTAGGATCTCGGGCGCCCAGGGAAAAATGCGGACCTCGTCATCAGGATGAGTCTTTTCCACCGCAAGGTCACTGCAACCTGGACGCCTTCAACAAATTGCAGGCTCTGCAAACATGGCAGCTCTATAAATCTCCAAACCCTTCACGCAGGAACAGGCCATGATATTTGGCTTGGCGCTGCGTCCTTTGCGAATGCCACTAATAGGGACCTGGCAGGGACGGCACCGTTTTTCTCGAGCCCATAGGACTTGGAGAAGTCAGGGTCTCCGGAGATTGCGGTCTGCCTTCAACTTGCTTGGCTCGAAAAAGCAGAAGCTGATTTTTTTAATGGAAGTAAATGAGTTTGTCTAAGAACCTCTTCATCCTCAGCATCCCGCAATCTCCTAAAAGCCCTTTGTAGGCACGTCCTGCCAGGGCTCTCGGGCTCTAAGAGGCCAAAGGCCTCTCGAAGACCCAAAGATACTCGGACATTTTTGACAACTCCTTCCAACAAGACTTCACAATCTTTCTTCGGCTCTGCCTCCCACGGCAAAAGGAAATCGCAGGCGTGGTTGAAGAGACTCCCGAAGCCCGAAAGCCTGAGCCATCAAATGAGCAACCCACTACGTGAGCAGTGGTTTTTCAAAGCGAGGGCCTGGAGCGTTTGGTCGCTAGGTTGGAGGCCTGGCACTGGAAGAAGAACCACGACCATTGAATCTTGAAACAAATCCGGTGTAACAATTAGTACAACGTCAAAGTTGACAGTGGGACAGCATCTGAGTTCTGGCAGTCTCTTTGTTATTTTCGGGATCCTACAGATACTGCACAGGCACACGAGCCGCAGCATGAGTCCGTGAGGCCACGCGGACTTAAGGTGTTTCTCTGCCGGGGGCGGAGAGGCTCATCATACCAGCGTAGAGCAACTGCAGCCCAAAACCGGAGACTGCCACCCTCAAACGGGTGCCCTGTTCGGAGTGCCCCACCTTCCACGGCTCTCATGATGCGAGCTTGCTTTGTGATACCGTTTCTGGAGTGCCCGCTCTCTCTCTCTCTCTCTCTCTCTCTCTCTCTCTCATTGTCTATCGCAAACTACCCATCCTGAGGTGCGTATGTTTAGATAGGCCGGGCCACCTTCAGAGAGAGGTTTTGCTGGTCAAAAGCTTCAGGCCTCAGGGTCTAAATCACACTGCCTAACTGTGCCTGCATGGGCGCTTTGCAAATGCTTCCTTTTACTTTTTGTGCTCAATCCCACATGCTACCACATGCCTGCAAGGCAAAGAAGAAGGCCCCTAAGGCTGAGCGATGAACTGCTGGAGGGCTCTCACTCTTTTTGAGGGGCTTTTAGGATTTAGGGTTTAGGGTTAGGGTTTAGGGTTTAGGGTTTAGGGTTTAGGGTTTAGGGTTTCCGGAACCCCCAAAAACTTTCAGGCTTGCCTACCAGGACTTCACCCGAGCGCTGGAGACCCTGAACTCCACCGCCCGCCTCGCTGAAGCCTTGCTCTTGCGGTTCCGAGAAATTTTATTCTTTGTGGGGTAACATTTTGCATTTGTAAGGGTACTTAACCCAATAAGGAATAAGAATGTAAATTTTTAATACTATCCCAACCATGCACTAGTTTCTGAGCCTCCACAGAGTTTGCAGAAGTTCCTGTTGCGGGCACGAGGGCTTTCTGGGGATCAGTCCCTCTAACGCCCGAAGCCCCCAAAACTTCGTCGCTGCTGTCGCTGTATTATAGTCACGCGAATTCCCGATCCGTATACAAATGTATATATATATATTATATATACACACGCACTTATACATATATGTATATACTCGTACCTCAGTTTTCGTGTGTTCCAAAATGTGAGCAACGTGAACGGCTGAGAACCTCGCAACACCTTACCATACTTTGCCTGTTTTCATTTCAACAAATTGAATTCGACCCTGTGGCTTCGATACCCTTGCCCCGAACCCTAAAACCACCTGTGGAGGGTTGAGACGTTAGGCCCGAGAGAAGAGAACAGGATCTGAGAGTTCTAGAGGTACTTGGGCCAGATGCCAAGCCTCTGGCAACCACGAAGCTTCGCTGAAGACATCGTAGTCCACACTGGGAGTGGAGTCCTAATGTGAAGGCAGGGCTTCTGCTTCAATTCCAAAAGAGAAGCTGCTGGACTCTTAAGGGCTGGTTCGTGTTTGGGCCCAAGGCGACTTCCAGCGCTAGGGCAGACTCATTCTTGGCTTCAGGCGTTCGAACCTACACGTCACACCGAATGCAAACCTTGTCCGTAGCAAGAGAAGGAAATGCCCGACATCTGGGCATGCATGTGGTCTTCTTGCCATGAAGAACTTATCTGTCATGGCCATCATGGCGTTCAATCTGGTTATCGCTTTTCTGCTGTTGATGAGTTGTTAGTCATATTATGAATTGTGGCTGTTTTGACTGTTTGCAACTCGAAAACTCTGCCGCATGAGACGAGCCGCTGCACCATGCCATCATTTGCACGTCACCCTGGGAGTCCGCTCCTGAAGGTTGCTTCCTTTAAACCCTATATAAACCCTAAACCCTAAGCCTTAAACCCTAAACCCTAAACCCTAAACCTCATGAGCAAAATTTGCAAAAGATTGGTGTAGGGTTTCGGTGTTCTCCAGACTTCCGGCTTGGCATCCACTGTGTCCTCACCCGGAAGAGCTTGGGGTTTAGGCTTCCGGGGCCCTTGAGGGTTTGTTCCAGCATTCTCTCTTCCATTTTTGGGGACATACCCTGAGACCCAGATCCTCGAAGATCCCTCAGGAGAGCCTGGGCGCCCATCCTCCTTCGCTGGAGGCTCCCTGTTCTGGCGCAGGGGGGCTTCCGAGTCCAAGTGCATGTTGCTCAGAGCGAGTCCTGGAGGTGCCACTTCTTTCGTCGGTGTGCTCAAGCCATAGAGCTTCCATCCACAAAGCTTTAGGGCCTGGAAGTAGATGCATAGGGCAAGAATGGGGGGGCGTTGGGGGTTCCCAAACATAGGGGCAGCCTAACACATACCTGTATCTGGGGTTTCCATAGGTTATGGTTTTGTGGGGCTGTGTCCGCGAATCATTCAGGAATCATTTTTTGTTTGCTTGAAGGATCGTGGGTTTGCCTTTCATGCCTTTATTTTGCGCATGAGGGCAGCGCCTTAAGGGACCCCAAGTTTCCGAAACCTTCCGGACGTGAGCCTGTTGTGAGGTACTACGTCTGCAGCCTCTTCTCCTGGGGCCTGCTGACTGAGCAGGCCGTGGCCGAGGCAACCTGGCAGGAGGTCATAGGGCCGGGGTTTAGGGTTTAGGGTTTAGGGTTTAGGGTTTAGGGTTTAGGGTTTAGGGTTTAGGGTTTAGGGTTTAGCGTAGGGGCACCAGCTTTTGGCACTGGGGGGTGTGCATTCGCACGGTGCCTCGCGAGAAAAAAAATGTCGGGCTTCGCCCAGACACGTAGTTGCAAACTTGGGAGTGGCAGTTGGATGTGGGGTCCGCATCTTGACCCCCCTGCCCTCCGAAGCTGGTGCGCCCATAACCGTCCGGTGTTCGGGCTCTGTGGAAGGGGGGGAGGGGGGAATTTTGTTGTGGGCTTGACGGCCAAGACGTGAACCCAAAGCTCACGCTGCGCAACGTCCAACCTCAAACCCAACCGCCGTGCAAGCTTGAACATCGTGCACCCTGAAACCCCAAGGCCCCAGAAACAACGTCCTGAAACAACATATCCCAAAAGCACAAGCCACTCGAACACACGCCACAGTCCCAGAGCCCGACCGTGCTGCTCCGAAAGCTCCTGCCCTAAAGGAATGCAACCCCGCACAGTGCAAGGCCAGACATGTTGCATGTTGTGCCCTCGAAATTTCAGCTTGCATCCCTCGAGCTGCAAAAGCGCGCGCACCTCAACCTCGAAAAAGCATGCTTTTAAGTCGGAACAAAAGCGACCTGTACCTACATAAACCATGCTACGAGACGAGCGTTGCACCCAACAAAGACCAAGGTACGGTTTCAGGGTAGGGGGGAGGATGTGTAAGGGGATGCTTCAGACCATCCCTGCACTGGAGGCTGCAAACATTCTCAAGACCTTGGGCGTCGTGGGTCTCATCGACCCCTTGGCCGGCAGCGGGTCCCAACCTCAGAAGCCCAAGGAGTTGTCCCATCTGAAGCCCTAAGCACCTAAGGGGGGGCTCTGCGTGATTCTGAGATGTTTCCTTCGCACAACTCCGGCCTTATGTATGCTCTGCTTAAGAAGTGCCATACTGGACCTTGGGGGGGGGAAGGGGAGTCCCAACTCTTCATCTTGCAGGGCCAAAAGTCAAAACCCATGGATGGGCAATGCTACACCCTGATACTCTGCACACAGCATGCAACGCTCTGTGTGTCGTAGGCTTTGAGGCTTGGGCGGTGGCCACCCTGATAAGTCCTGATGGATGCTGGTGGTCTTCATTTGTTCATCTTATAGGGGTCCTGACATCACAGGATGTCGGGACGGGGGCATGTTTCCCCTGAAGACAGGTTGCTGAAACACCCGCCCACTGAAGCCCTCACTTGAGGTGGCATGCCCTACTCTGGCAGGAGGCGCCTTAGCAAGGTCAGGTCAGGGATTAGGCTTTTACCAAGGCAGTTGGGCTCGTGTATTGCAGTGGGTGCAAGAGAGAGAAGTCGTTTGATACACTCTTTTTGAGAAGTACAACCCTTGGAACCCTGAGAAAGCTTCGGCTGTTCAGCTGTCGAATCGACGAGTTGCTTCGGGCTTCTTGCCTACTTCTGCACTTCAAAAGCACCGCCAAAGGGTCACACGAAAGACCAAACCGGACCAAGCCAGGCAACGAGCTTTTGCCCACGAAGCCATTCTCAGCCTGGAGGTCGGTGGCCTTGCAGTGCTGGCCATGGACTCTTATGCTGCCGATGCCTGAGACGGCCAAAGCCATTCGCTCCTTGCCACACGGGAGCCCAAAGCGAATTGTCCGTGCCCGGACGACCTGTTGAGCTGGCGAGGGGCTCAAGTGGGGTGAAGGACTCGTTGGCGGCCGGGCCGCTTTAGGATGCGATAGGTTTTGTGCTGCAGACAGTGACGTCGTGTGTTCCAGAGCTGACTTGGGGCGTCAGTGAAGCAATTCAAACAACAGTCAGATCCGCTGCCTGCGAAGCTTGCATTGTGTGCAAATACAGATCTATACACTTTAAACCACCCAAAGCCACCGCAAAAGAACAAATGGAAACCTTGAAGCCTTGCAATGCCCGTGCACCTCTGAGACATGGCAGCTGTCTGTGCCGAACCCTTCCTACCATGCCCTGGACAGAACGGCCTTAAAGAGTTTGAGAGCCCAAGCGCCACCCGAAGAAGGTGGAGCCGGCGTGGGCCGAGGTCTCGGTCGTCGAAGATTCGAGGACCTTGGGCTCCTTGCGTAAATTGGTGATGGGCGGGGCTAAAGGGCTCAAATGGCATGTTCACATGGCACCAACCTAGGAAAGCGCAGGGGAGCGACCTCTACAGGCCCTTCCAACTCCCCCCCCTCCCCTTGCCGGGAAAGCGCATGAAGCTCAGAGAGGACAGTGGCGTGGAACGTGCACCCTTCCGATCCCGCGAGGTCCATCCAGTGTTGCTGTTCCAGTCGCTGTTCCTAGCGGGAGCGTAGAACATAAGCAGCCGAAGTGTTGCTGAACACCTCAAGAACTCTATATCCAGGATGGCGAAGAATGGCAAAGACTGCAGCTGGGGCTGGGGGTCTTTCGCTTGGGGAGGCCACACAGGCCGTTCAGGGCTTCAGGGCATTCGGCCCGACGAGGAAAGAGTTCAGAGCCATGCACTTGTTTCTGCCGTGTGTTGGACCTGCTTTGATGCAGTACCAGTAGGCTTGGTAGAAGTTATTAGTGTGAGGGGTGACGATTCTGTACTACTGACTTTAGACCCTAACTTGTCCAAGAATTGCAGCAGTCTGCACATGATAAACAAAATTTCCGACACTCCCCAAAAGAATCCCTCCCATGTCAAATTTCCCGACTACACTGACTTTCATTTGCATCCAAAGATTACGAGGTGGGCGCTGCTCCTGAGCTGGCCCCCGCACAGTCCTGAAACCGTCGGCGCGGACCTAAGACTCATGAATAGCAGCAGTTCCCGCAACTCCCTAGCGGCATCAGCCTTTGACGGCTGCCACATCTTGCACTGGATTGGAATATATGCATTGAGCCGGTCCAACTCGCAAAATATGAGACAAGCCTTGGCCGATTCAGCGAATAGTTTGCAAATGCTCTTCCCGGAGGGTCTGGATACAGGGAGCTCAACGATCCTTTCTCTGTATATACACATGTGTATATACACATGGAGGAGGTTACTGCATTATCTTTTGTCTCGAACACCAAATGTACTTCCAAAAGGAGGCTTGCCAAAAGGCCGCAAGCACCTTCAGAAGCTGAGACCTTCAAGAGCATCCTTATTCTAGGAACCTTCACAAGGGGGGCACTAGTTTTGGGAAACCCCATTCTCAAAAAGGTTACGACCTGCTCGAGAAGTTTGAGGGCACCTACTTCCTTTACCTCGGGGAGCAGGCGAAGGCGCTTCCTGGAGAGTGTCAACCACACCTTGGGGATGCGAGATGAACTTCAAAAGAGGTAAGTGTAAGTGTAAGTGAAAGTGTAAGTGTAAGTGTAAGTGTAAGTGGTCCATGTAAATGTACATTGTTGTAGTACATACCGTAGTCAGGATGAGCGACTTCTACCATCTGCCTCAAACCAATGACAGTATGTAACTGATACGTAGCTTGTGGTACAGGATCCCACGTGTAGGCTCGAGCCCTGGGCTCCAATACCCCTCGATTGAGGAATGGACAAGAAAGGCAAGCCCTAGAACAAAGGTTTAAACTGAGGGAGAGTCCTTCCGATTTAGGGGTGCCCACTGGGAAATCTGATAGTGTTGCCTTGGGCCGTTGGTGCAAGGCTTAGGCTTGTTGCCATGGCCACAGAGGACGGTGCCCTCAGTGTCGACACGGGTCTCACCGGAGGCACGGCCCGATCACCCAACTCCCCCAATAACCTTGCATCCCTAAGGAGAACACCCCTAGCCCTAGTCCTTCACAGATGAGCAACGCTCTTTTTTGCAATCCACCTTGGCATGATTACCCTCCATTCCAAACTGTCCACCCTGATGCCATTCTTCACTCACCTCCGCCGAAAGCCACAAGTGAACACCACTTTGAAACCCTCTGCGACAGATCTGTGTGCTGGAAAATCTATAGGGGAGGGGTTCCCTCGACTCTTTCTCGAGATGTTCTAGTACACACACAGATATATATATATATGTATTACGTAAATGATCTCGTTTGTCATTGTACCAGCATGCTTCATACGACTATGTTAGTTCATTTGTTGATGACTATGTGCTTGGCATGAAGTGCACATTTAGTGGGTTGGTTTATGCACAGGGTGAAACAAATTCACCCTGCAATGAAACCCCCTTCTTGGAAAATTCCTGGAGAACCTCCGCCTCCGCCAAGCTGCTGGCCCTCCATTCAAAAACTTCGGCGCCTTCTACCCGCCCTTGTAAGGCGGGCCCAGTAGAAGCCCCTAAACATTGTTTCAACGATGCTTGAAAAAAAGAGAAAGAAATGCAGCTGGAGAGGCCAGGAGTTCCTCCGCCGCATAGCGGAGGCCTGGGGGATGGGGGGGCTCGGGGGAGGCTCAGGGTTTCTACAGGGTTTGTTGGACGAATGCAGGGTTCCGGTTCAGGAGAGTTTCTGTTTTAGTGCGGATTGAAGTAGGTTTTGTCGAACCATCAAAAAGCGTCAGCAAGCAATGGACCTCCTCTGTTGCTCTTTTTAGGGGTTGGGGATGGGGGTCGAGCTTTATAAGACATCTGCATCGGCCCCACTTGAACTACAGCACACAGAGCCATTTTTAACCCGCCCAGAAGGGGTCTGGATCCCTGCAGATTCAAAAGGTCCCTGAGCCTGAAGCCCCTGAAGCCCTCCAATCCATAGCCCCAAGCGCCAAGTTTGTGGGATCAAGAGAGCGGTTGGAGTTGGAGGGCCGCGCTCGTCAAAAACCCTGATATGACTGAGCACTTATCCATACTCCCCAGAATCATCACAGCCACTTCCGGACATGGCTGCCTTTGCGGACCTCCACTTCTCCGCAGGCCCTTGTAATGAGCCAGAAACACAATGCAGCTTTGGCCGGGCTCGCTGTTTCCCCCTCTGGCGCCCTGTTACCTGACCCAGCTTGTTGGGCGGGCTTTCGCTATGACCAGTGCTGCGGAAAAGCATTCGGGCCAGCTGGGAACTTAGAGTGCTGGAATGCCACCTTCACTCCAGAGAGGTGTTGCGTGAAAGAGCGGCTGCTGCAGGCCAGCAAAACACCATGCCAGTGCTGCAACCGGAGCCATCTGAACCCCGTCGGCTCCATCAGCGAGGTGGTCGAGAAGCTTGGTGTTTTGGTGTTCTTCGATGCGCTGACGCTCAGCGCAGGCTGGCTTCGCAAGGCCTACCCGCGTTGGGAGCCACGCACCTTCAGCGTCTTCCAGCGCTTCGCAAGAGGAACTGTATTGGATGTAGGTGCCTGGATCGGTGTCACGGCGATTTGGGAGGCAAACATTGCAGAGCACGTCTTTGCCGTGGAGCCGACGCCGACTTCTGTTTGCGAGCTAAGGGCCAACCTGAATGTCAATCCAGCTCGCGTGTCTCGCCGTGTCACCATCATCCACGGCGCACTTCACAACGAGAGTGGGAGCATCATGATACTGAATCGGGGGCCTCATGCAGATAACCGGCCGTACTATGGCCCATCGCGCCCACTACTCGCCCGCGTTCCGGCCTTCACGATTGAGACCTTGCTCCTTCAGTACCCGAGACTTCGCGAGGTCTCCTTTGTGAAGATTGACGTTGAAGGGCATGAGCTCGCACTCGTACCGGCGATGCGGTTCTTCTTCAAAGAGTACAAGCCCGTGGTCTTTTTGTCTTTGCATCCAAAGTTTATCGGGGATCGGCTTGTTCGCAGAGTTGCCACGGCTATGAGGGGAATTTTCCCATACCTTTACGAGGCAGATATGAAGACGCCCTTCAACACTCGACGCTTCACTTTCTTCGGCAGTGTCGAAGATCACTTCGGCACAGACTTGTTGGCCACGTGGCACCCCTTGTGACGATCTGCTTGGGATCTCGGATAACGTCGGCTCGCGACTCGATGAGCATCCATGGACTGAAAGCTCTGAATGAAGCAGAGATGGACACCCAGTAGACGCCTGCACCACATGCCTGCGCCGCTCAGCCGCTCAGCCATCGGCACAGGTTCCCTTGGTGGCACGCCTTCCATCGCGAGCGTCGGGCCCCAGATGTGGACTGCAGAATACCCCGCGTCAATTGCCCATGGCAGCGACAGTAGCTTACAGGGAGGGGGAGGGAGGAGGATCCTCAGCGAGAACTCGGTAAAATGTGTGAGAGAGACACGCCGAGAGACTCGTCCCCCATCTGAGAGACCCATCGAGTATACAATATAAGCCTGAAGAAGAAACCCTAAGAGCACCACGAAAATCTGCAGAGGCCATCGCTCCATCCCCTAAGTCCCGCAAAGGCCGAAGTCCTTCGATCCTCCCCTAGCTGCCCTATAGCTTTAGGAGCTTTAGGAGCTTTAGGAGCTTTAGGAGCTTTAGGAGCTTTAGGGTCGAGGCTCCCCAGAAACAACCGGAACATAGGCTTCGAGAATTCGAGAAGGAGCGTCTTAAGCGTTGATATGGGTTGGAGTTGAGGTGAGAAAGGACAACGGGGCACGACCCGAATTCCCGCTGGCATATCGAGCCAAACAAATGCCTGAGGTACAACCCTTCTGTGGAGGGGCCCTCCTGTTTTGCTAACTGCATCCCGCGAAGCCGCTGTTTGGTCTCTCCTGGCAGGACTGGGAGCTTGTCCAAGCTTGGCAGATCCCGAAATGGCAGAGGGCCCCAGATGTGCCCCCTTGCACACCAGCATGAGGGTTTAGGGTTTAAGGCTAGGGGTTTATCAGGTTTAGGGCCCTGAATCCTGAAATCTGCAGGCAGCCTCCTAAGCTCGCACGGCCTTCATGAGACGAGGTCGGTGTCGGGTGTGGGTGGTGGCGGGTTGTCCATTGAAGCTGGGAGGTTCGAATTGGCCGCAGTTCTGCATTCTCGGACTTCCAAGCCCTAAGCCGACAACCAAGCGCACCGCAGAGCTGCGGAGCCAAGGCCTGGATTTGCAGACGACTTGAAGCTCTATCGGCGGCGGAAAAGGGCAAAGAAAAAAGGTTGCTGACAGGCACAGGGTTTGAGGGGAGGAAAGCTGCGCCATTGAGGCTACGTAGGGGGCCCCTACGTAGGCGTCGGCGCTGATGCTCACAAGTGTGTGGCTGGCGCAAGGAAACACCAGGGTATGCCAGGCAACGAATAGGCGACCTAGCAAAAAATGGACGAGCAGACTGACATGGGAACAGCGCCACCATGCCTGCCAGACTGGAACAAGCAGTGTTGCGCAACTCACGCACAGACCCTCGCTCCGTGCGGTATTCCACCCCGGCTCCTTGAATCACAGGAATGTACAAGACCGACTAGAAGACTGCTGCTGGGTTTTTAACAGCAGCAGCAGGTTAGAATTATCACAATTATTGTGATTTTGGACACATGTGTTGTCAACTGAAGGAGTGCGGACAGTATCACATATAGGCCGAGCACAGCCTGCAGATCGGTCCGCTGTACACACATATATATATATATAGAATTTTATATATATATATATATATATATAGAAATATAGAGAGATGTATATATATATATAGACATATATATATACACATCTATATATATATATATTGGATTTTGGGATTTTGGGATTTTTGGACTTTTGGGTTTTTGGACTTTTGGACTTCTTTTTCCATTTCGCGGTTGGTCCATTGGGGAGGGGGGGGGGGGGTGAGCATATAAATACATATAATACATATCCACATAGCGCAAAGTCTTGCCATGTCTGCTGATCCCGTGCGTGTCGGTGCTGTAGACGATGTGGAGGATGCGGAGGAGGAAGAGCAGGCGAGCTTCTTGGGGGCGAGTTCTGGGAAGGTCGGCATGCCAAAATCTCTGGATGTGGATGACGGTGCAGGTGAGGAGGGTCCAGGAGTCGCCTCCTGCAGGATCTTTCATCTCATTTGCTGTGGTCTCTTGAGTATGGCGGTGGGCTTCATGGGGGCCAAGTTCCTGAGGGGCAGGCAGGATCCCTTTACTCCCGTGTCCGTGGCGTGCCCTGTGCGGGAGCCGAGATCACCAGCATCAGTGAGGCTACCAGGCCCTGGAATGGTGGAGCTCGTGGGATTCAACCGCGCATGGTTGGCAGGAAACGGGGAGTACGAGGACCCCATTGTGGTCACCGGGGGTGCCGGCTACATCGGAAGCCACATGAGCTTGATGTTGCTGGAAAGAGGCTTCGACGTCGTGATCGTGGACAACTTATCGCGTGGAAGCATGCTGGCGGTTAAAGTCCTCCAAGCCGAGGCCTGCAAGCTTTCACGATCCATCGCCTTTGTGAATCTCGACTTGGGGAATCATGACCAAGTCACCGAGCTCTTGCAGCGCATTCAGCCCAGAGCAGTCTTGCACTTTGCGGGCAATGCTTATGCCTCCGAGTCCATGGAGAAGCCACTCCTGTACTACCAGAACGTCACGGAAAACACGCTGTCACTGCTTCGGGCCATGGCAAAGGCACAGGTCACAAATCTAGTCTTCTCGTCCAGCTGCGCAACCTACGGCCGCGCTCTCAGTTGGCATATATGAGCTCCACATCATCTGCACGCCCGCGTTTGTGCATCCGAGACCCTTAGGCTGTCATCGGCCTTCATGAAGTTGCATGCCCTGGCTGAGGCAACCCACCGCAGGTGCCGGTCACCGAAACGGTCGAGCAGAAGCCCATCAGCATCTACGGACACAGCAAGCTGATGGCGGAGAAGATGATCAAGGCCTGGGCAAGTCGCGAAGGATCCAACTGTGCCACCATCTTCCGCTACTTCAACGTCTATGGCGCAGACCTTCAGTCGCCAGTTTTGAGCAGAGAGCAAGGCTTGGTCCAGCGATTTTGCTGTAGTACAAGCTTGGGATGCTCCCAACCTTCTACTACCATGGGGGGGATTATTTCTGGGGGGGTTCTATATAATCCCCGTAAGCTCCTTATATTAAGGACTGTTAGTATATAAGGGAAACAACCCAAAGCTGTAGCAGAGGTGGAGAGGCCAGCCCTAAGCCCGAAGCCGAGCTGAGGTCGAGACTTGGCCCTGTGCTGCGAGGCCCGGGTTTAGGGTTTAGGGTTTAGGGTTTAGGGTTTAGGGTTTAGGGTTTAGGGTTTAGGGTTTAGGGTTTAGGGTTTAGGGTTTAGGGTTTAGGGTTTAGGGTTTAGGGTCATGTGCCTCCTTCTGCCTCCCCCTTTTGCATCACATTAGTGCCTCCTGCGTCTCTCTTTTCGTGGGCTATAAGCCCCAAACCCTAAGCCATTTCGCCAGCGTGAGAGTCGAAACCCTAAACATCCCTAAAATCCCGAAAATCCCTAAACCCCAAACTATCCCAAACTCCTAGACTCTTCCTCTTCTCCCTTACCAGGCCCAAAGTTGGCGCAGTACGGGCGGCTGCCGGATGTCCTCGTCGAAGCGGCCCTGGGCTTGCGGAGCTCCGTCCCTATCTTCGGGGCAGAAGCTCGGAGAGCGAAAGGGCACCAGGCTAATGATAACACAGCAATGCTTTAGAGTACTAGGATAAAAATGTGAGTAACATGTTCTTATATTTTAATACTATAATGCTTCTGCACCATTAGAATGTAATGGTATGATGCTATAACAAAATGAGGCGCCTTAAGGGCACGACCCAAGGCTTTGTTGTGCTGAGTGGATGCTTTTCTGTTGTCGATCTTTTCAAAGCTCTTCCGGAGGCCCCTCCTGCTGACTACCCTCGTCTGTTGCTCTCCTTCTTCTGGCTCTCAGCCGCTCTCTCTCTCTCTCTCTCTCTTTCTCGCTCTGTCTCTCTCTTTGGCACATGAATGGTCCGGTGTGTAAAGTTCTGTTTTCCAAGTGCCAGATTCCAATGTGCATGTACAGCGACGCGACCACCGATCCTCAAGCGGCATGCCGGAGCATGTTCGCCAAGTTCCTTCCTCTTGAAACTTGTCGGGGCAACCTTGTCTTAAGCCAAGGACCTGAAAACACGGGATGGGACCGCGGAGCGCGATTACATTCATGTCTGGGATCTCGTGCATGCCCACATGGATGCCCTTGCTGCAATGATGTTGGCAGGTGCGCAGGGAGATGCGTGCGTGTCAGATGTGTACAACCTCGGAACTGGGACACCTGTCTCAGTTCAGCAAATGCTCTCCGCCACGAAGGCCCTGTTCCCAGAAGCAAAGTTCACGGTGGAGGTCAAGCCGCTCCGATCGGGTGACCCAGTCTCCGTTTATGCGGACCCCCGCAAGGCACTCGCCAAATTCGGATGGCGGGCACAGATTCAGAACACCACCGAAGCGTTGCAGACCTCTGTACGCTTTCTGCAGAAACATGCCTCCTATTTTCATCTCGCCCTCGGTGACATGAAGACTCTGCCCGATGTCCGGGTGCCAAGTACGGCTCCGACAGCTCCGACTCCGGGGATGGTGGCACCGGCGACTCCTTCACTTCCTGCGGCTTCTCCAGCCACTCCGGCTCCTTCCGCTCCAGGTGCCTCGGCGACACGCGCAGAGTTAGTTATGCCGCTTAGTTGCCTTCGTCAGTGAAAAGCAATTTCAGGTGAGTACAGATCACGCTATGCAGAGCCAGCCAATCCGTGGCAAGCTGGTGACATGCCGAACGCGACGCTCAATTCCACACCCTGGGTGGTTCATCGCTTCTCCGACCCCTTGGCGTCTCCGCGCATGTGCATTCAGGTCCTCACCATCCCATCGGTGAAGAAAGGGTACCTCTACTGGTCCTTCTTCATCCTGCGCGAGTATGCCAGGAGAAATGGTTATGATCTCTATGCCTTGACCACCAAGATGAACGAGACTCGGCCGCCCTCCTGGCTCAAGATCCGGAGTGCGCAGGCCATCATTCGAAGCAACACTGGCTGCGACTACCTATTCTGGATAGATGGGGATGCCATCATTATGAACTTCAGCTTTCGGCTGGAAAACATCATAGGCTACAATGGCAATAAGGATGTGGATGTGGTAGTGTCGGGCGACACGGTTGCCATTAATGCAGCCATGGGGCTTTGGAAGATGACACCCTGGGCATACAGTTTTTTGGAGGACATGTGGAATATTGGTGATGTGAAGCTCTGGGAAACTGGCGCCATTGCCATTCTTATCGCTGGCTGCAAGCCATCGGACCCGGTGAACGTGAAGCGTGCTTGCTACGAACACTCGGACAAGGGCTGGAGGAACGGGACCTTTGCAAAGCACTTGAAGCTTGCTGAGCCTTGGGCTGTGCAGGAGATGCTGGTCAACAAAACTCTTTCTGACCATATGGCCTGGGTGCCCAAGCGCCTCATCAACAGCTATCCCAAAGGTCTCTTCGGTGGTATGTTTGACAGAGCAACAAGCCCAGACTTTCTCGCACACTTTGTGGCTGGGGGTAAAAACCAAATTGAGACCTGGGCCAAAGATTCCATAGCGAGGAACAAGCTCCTCCCTGATCCTAGTGTTCCGCTGTGGCCTCCCGACCCGCCTAATCGCGTCTGATCGGGCGGGAGTCATGCCACAGTGCCACAGGCATGGGAAGAGCACGTCTCAATGGCATTCAAGCTTTCTTACCACAGACATGGTGCATGCGATGCATGGAATGAGTGCCATGCATATGAGGAGCGTATAGGGATTTCAGTACTCGGAGTGTCGTGAAAAAAAGGTGCAACCGCTAGTAGTTGTGAGCTCCTGATCCTTAGTCCTCCGCCCTCTTAACGGCCCTTGCATCCTAAATTTGCGTCTCCGGAGTGTTAGTGTCAGGATTGCGTTGTAGTGGAAGGGAAGCTGTCCTCTTAGAACATAACAAGGAGATAGAGGTTTTCCTTTCAAAAAAAGGACATCGCAGGTTTCCCATGAAAATAGAACATGGAGGAAATGAGGGTTGCTTCTGACAAAACATAAGGGAATAGAGGAAACAGAGGTTTCCTATACTGTCACTTAAGCGGAGGTTTACCTGGAAAATGCAGCAGAAATTGTGGTTTTCATGTTAAAACGATTAGAGGTTCAGAAAACCTCTTTTAGTCGAAACTTAACAAGCAAGCAAACAACAAACAAACAAACAAACAGGCCCCCTCTTTGCAAACACAATGCTCGCATGACGTGTTGGAAGGGATTCGCATTCGTTCGTATCTCAGCGCATCTGTTTCTGCATTTCTTGCCATGAGTTGTAGGAATCGGACAGCAGGATACCCGAGCTGGAAGCTCCAAAGTTTTCGCGGAGCCTGAGGAAATCCCAGTTTTGAGTGCCTTGCTACTTCCAAACGCTCGCGCGTGCCGCCTCAGCAGCCGTGTGGTGTAGCGTGCGCATGGCAGACGAAGGAAAGCCACCGTCAACTTGGTGCAGAACCACGAGGGCGGGGGGGAGGGGGGGGGGGGGGGGGGGTTCTGGGGGGTCCGAAGATCTCAGACGGATCCCAGGAAGTTTTTCAGGGGTTTCGTGCCTTGCGCAAGCATCCCACGGGGCAGGGGGGGGGGGGGGGGGGAGAGGGATGGAAGGAGATCAGACCCTGGGTCTGCTTGGACCAGCGCAAGGTTTGGCATTCCAACCGGCGGGCAAGCAGAGTACCAGTAGCTCTTTGTAGCACGATGGTTCCAGATTCAAGAATCAAGAGGTTGGCTTGATAGCGAGCAGCTGTACTCCAGGACATGTTTCCTCTATGGTGCGTGCGTGAAGTCCAGGTTTGTCAGCGCGAGTACAACACCAGATCTCAACAACGCGCCAGTGATGGTTGAGTCAAAACCTCAGCTAAGCCTTAAAACAAAAGCACAAGCGACAGGCTCAGGGTTTGAAGTTTAGGGCTAGGGGTTCAGAAGGGACTTACGTTTGCTATTATCTTGTTTCACACCCTCTAAGCCCAAACCAATTTTCTGAGTGGATGGCTTGCTGGCGGCTGCTGGCAGTATCCGGAGCCCTCCTTGGGTGTGCGGCCTTTTTCCTCAGCAGCAGGTACAAGCTTGTGCCTTCTTGGGCTCAAAGAAGTCAAGGGACCACAAGGAGGAACCCTGATAAGGGACTTAGGGGTTCTCTAGGGGTTTCTTCAGGGGCCACTTACCCTGAAAGAAGCGTTTCGGGCCGGTTTTTCGAGGGTTCGGGGTTGCGGCTTCGGGGCTTTCGAGTCTTGGGATCAAGTTCTCCCCATTTTTCTTCCATTGCGCTTCACTTGCTAAAATTTACGAGAGCCCGAGCTTCGACCCTAAACCCTAAACCCTAAACCCTAAACCCTAAACCCTAAACCCTAAACCCTAAACCCTAAACCCTAAACCCTAAACCCTCGCCCCCCCCCAGGTGCTTTTCAAAGTGGCCCATGCAGCTGAGCGCGAGCCCAGAGACACCCAGGCCAGAAACCCGGTGATTGCGGCCCAGCGTTTTAGAGCTCATTTCATGTTATATATATATATATATATATATATTTATATTTATATTTTATATTTATATTTATATGTATAATTAAAAGTACATGTCAGTATAAAGAAGACGCAGAAGACCAGAGGACGCCGACGTTGATCAGCCTATGGTCGGGCTTATCATGTGCCGCACTACAAATATATTAATCATTCGCATTACGTCACGCTATGTCAACAGTTTCATATCCCCGCCTTGGAGAGTCACGTGTCCGCCCTTCAGGCATTCCACCCGTCCGAGACGGAAAAAGACGACTACTCTGCAACACGCGCCGGAGTGCAGGGCGCTCCAGTGGGCAAGGCGTCGATTGACGCCTTTCTCGCACGCGCTCACGTTTCAGCTCCTGTTGCCCAGACGACACCCACGTCCACGCCCACACCCCCACCCACACGCACACCCACACCCACAACCACACCCACACCAGCGTCGGGCCCGCACAGCCATGAAACTTGTCCGGGGTTGACTCGAAGCACAAAATGCATCGATTCCTCCTCGCACTTGCTTCCGGAGAAGAAAAGTTCGTATAAGATTCCATCCGACCTAGCCGCCATGCTTGCTCCTGAGAACACAGTCCAAGTGCAACAGAAGCTCATCAACAGCGACATTTGCGTGATTGCAATGGGCGATTCAACATTGGAGGAGACTGTGGAGGACATCGGGGCCATGCTAGGCGAAGTTGACGGCACGAGGAAGAGTGCTGAGGAGATCTGGAAATGGATCGATACTTGGATGAACGCGACGGTGTCCCAGTCTAAGCCTGGGGCACATTTCGATGCACCCCTCTTCAGAGCTTCGTACTTTCCGAATCATCGCAAAATGTCGATTGTTGCGCGTGGTGGACGTTTTGTTCTGTATTACCGCTTCATCGGGCATCCTGAAATAGACAAAAACTGGATGGGTTTGAGAAGTTTGCTCAACGAGCCTTTGCGGGAGGAGATTGTGAGCGGCGCGGACAAGTGGTGCGGCAATCTCAGGCGGGTCGTGTGGCTGCAAGTGGGGTACCATGAGAAAAGGCAGGAGCGCAAACATTTCCACAAGAGCGGACTGCCGGACGTCTACCGGAAGGTGCTTCCCTGGGTGGAGCAGTTGGCGCCAGAGCGCTACTGGCTGATGCGCCAAGGCGACACTTGGTGCCAACACACCTTGTTTGGGGTGTTTTTTGCTGTTCTTTTGTTTTTGTTGTTTTTCTTCAATCTCTCTCTCTCTCTCTCTTATCTCTCTCTCTCTCTCTCTCTCTCTGTCTTATTCTTCATGATCTTTTATACCATAAAGCCACCACAGGCCCGAAAAGAGACCCGAAAATCATGTTGCAACTGCTGGCTCCTTCCAGAATGGAAGCACAAGCTTGGCATGCAGAATCATCATAATCAAGCCAAGCCAAGGAAGATCTGGATCAGCTCAACCAATGGCTTCGCGCAGAGCTCCAGAATCCGAGCCGAAACCACAAGAATTGGTCCATCATGGAAGCCAGACGTACCGTTGTGAACTGCTGTTCTTTTTTTCTTGCTTTCTTGTCGGGTAGGTTATAGGGTACAGTACAGGGTGGAGCTACCTGTTGTTTTTGTTTGGAGGCACCTGCACTTCTTAGGACTACAAGGTTCCCTGGGCCTGCGAGAAGCGGAACATCGAACAGGTACGTGCGCACACGGGCTCTATAGAGAGGTGGTGGCACAGCAGAAAAACTCTGGACAAATACCCAGACTACTACCTGAGCATGCTCCGCACCATGAAAATTGTCCAGCACATGCTATGCTAGCTGCTGGATGTTTAAGCCTAAACTTTAAACCCCAAACTCTACTAACCCTAACCCCAAAACCAGCGGCAAGAGACCTCGAGTAGTCCCTGCGGCCCTAACCCCAAAACCAGCGGCAAGAGACCTCGAGTAGTCCCTGCGGAGTGGTCAAGAGCGATCGGCTAGGCCGGGCTCGGCGGGTGGAAAAAAAACCCAGCGCCCGGCGTTTCACCCCCTGCCCTGGAGGCAAATTTAAGCGAAATGGGCATGGTCAGCTCGCACTGAGCTGTGCGAATCTGTGCAATTCAGAGACGAGACCCTTTGTTGAATCCTCCACAGAAGGGCTTCAACACGACTTTCTCTTCCACTGCCCTAGTTTTGTGTTATCCTCCTGCTTTCTGAAAGGGTCTGACCGCCCTCCGCCCACAGTCCCGTCAGTGCCCCTCTTTTGTTTGGCCTGTCAACCACAAGGGCTGGCGTGGCCGCGCATAAGGCAGAAGTCCTTGCGGACTCTTGGAACACCAAGCGATACAGGACACAACCCTGCTCAGCTCTCGCTTACGCATGTGTATCCAGTGGTAGCTCCCAATGTGAGGTAAAGGGTTGCAGGAAGGTGTGCTTAAGCAACGCCGGCAGCAGCAGCGGGTTCGCACTGCCAGCGGGCCTTCCGATCTCAGAGGGCAAGAACCAGCCGTGGCAGAGGACAGCCTGGAAAACGTCGGGTTCAAACTCTAAACCCTACAGGGTTTAGGGTTTAGGGTTTGAACCTGACGTGTTTAGGGTTTATACACCCTCAACCCTAAACCTTGGAAGTTGCTTTGGCATGGCTGGGCGGCTCCGGGAGATTGCTAGATTGCCAACGTAGAATATAGGGCACCCATCCTGCTGTCTCGAGCTCCGACAGAACCGAGGGCAAGCCAGGCGTCGACAAGTCCATAGGATGCCCTGGTTCTTGTTGGAATCATCTCCTCTCTGCTACCTTCGAACCACAGATCGATACAGACACAGCTGGCATCGCACTGCAGCGCACTGCATGTACACCCGGAAACCCGCGCGTGCGCGCGCGTTTGTCTTTGCAAGACTAGCTTCGAAATTTGTATGAGTCTTAGGTGAAAGGATCTTGGCCGCCTGGCCCAAAAGCGTAGTTAGCGTCCAGGCCTGTGTGCAGAGATGGCAGAGGATGGGCTTGTACTTGTTGCGCACCTTTCTTTTCTCAGCAAATGGGGGGACGTCAGGGCTTCATGGTTTTGGCTGTGTAAGTCTGCTGAGGCCTGCCGTATGCACGGTACGTCGGAAGCACAACACGCAGCACCGAAACCCAGACACTCCAAGAGTCTGGCAACTGCAAAACGCAACATGCTGTGGATTTTTGCAGACTTCCCAATCTCCAGGTTTTTGCTTACGGAAGGATGGCTGCAACGAGGCGCGAACATGCACATCATTATGCATGCATTTGCAAGTACCCAGGGTTTGTTTCGCTGTGTCATTGCGTTTCAGGGTGCTTCACATCAAAGCTGGTTCAAAACAAGGGACAGGGTTGCCTGAAGTGCATAGCAGCATCTGTGCTGCTGGAAGTTCTAGCAGTCTAGGGGTGACACGGTTTGCCTCAGCTCTGGTTCCAAGTCCTCGTCCCGGCTCCTGGCACTGCCTGGGTTAGTTCACATCAGCATGGCAGCTGAAGCGCACCAGTGCCGCAACTGCGGGGAAAGCTTCCAGACCCGGAACAGCATGTTCCGTCACCTGCGAGAGGCTCATGGACCCCCGGGAGACGGTGCCAGGGAAGATGCAAGAAGCCAAGGGAATGAGCAATCCTCAAACATACCCGTAGCATTTACAGATGATCCGATCCAGATGCCGCCTGATCGCCAACTTCCTGCATCCATCCGTGACGTGTTCAATCGCAAGGCGAGGCAAATCCCTCCGGTTTTCCGTGTGCCTAGCAGGATTCTGCGACAAGAGGTGCCTGAGGAGGACCTCGAAGACGCCTGGGAGAAAGGCCTGCTGTGGGCCATCTCCATCGGAACAAGGGGAACCTTTCAGCGGGAAGACCAAGCTCAATGGCTCAAAATGGCAAGAGAGCATCCGGAAGAGCGCGACATCCTGCTGTCTCCCTTGCAGCCAGAGGTGAAGGGCGACTTGCTCGTGGCGATCCTGCGCACGTTGCATGAGGCGACGTGCCACGACGTCCATCGCTTTGCCCGTGGGACGTGGAATGGTCAGGCGTCCGCTCAGGTTTGGCACGCAGTTGCCGAACGAGCGAGGGGCCGGGTGAGAATCCAATACCAAAGACTCAGCAAGAAGGGCCCTGCAAGCCCGCTTTTGCGTTTGCATGGAGAGCCTCGAACAAAGTTGGACATCTTCTCCCAAGAAGAGTTTGCTTTCTCCTTCTTGCGGAGGGTGGACGGTGAGATCTTTCAATGTCTGGGAAGCATTGCGGAATCCATGTTCTACTTCTCCGAGAACTGTCCGGTGGACATTTCAGGCAGCAAGAGAACCCTGAGACAAAAACGTAAGCATTCTAAACCTGGAATCAAAGAACAAGCTTCTGAGACGCGAACCCTGTGGCCCACAAGGTCGAGTCGATCTAACCCTAAACCTATGAAGCATTCCTGTCAGGCTGCTACAAGCTTGCGCAAGCCGCCGTGGAATCCGGAAACGTTGTGAGTATGAGTGAGGGCAAGGGCAGCTCGCCCTGGTGAGGGTGTGGGGTTTATAGGGCTTAGGGCTTGTGGAACCGCTTGTTTCGGAGTTGCTTTAGAGATGAAAGGTGATGGTTCAAGAGCAACGCTTTCAGGACTCTTTTTCCTAAGCCCTCTACCCAAAAGCACATACCAAACCACAAAATGGATCCTTGAGAAACCCCGGCCTCAAACCCTTCAAACCCTCCAGACCGAGAGAACCAAAAGTCCTGCCCTGCCCAGGTCCCGAACCCTAAACCCTAAACCCTAAACCCCAAACCCCAAACCCTAAACCCTAAACCCTAAACCCTAAACCCAGGCAGGGACGGCCGCTTAAAGGTGCGGCTTCGGAGGCGATCCGAAGAAGCGATCTGCCTCTCAGCGCATGAGGGCCCCCTGGAAAGGATGAGAGGAATTTGGGGGGGTCCATGGTCCATGGTTAATGTTAATTGAATATATATATATATGGGTGCGAGTCAAAAGTCTAGGTATGTAACTGGCTTCCGGGCGTCTTTCCGCGACATAGGGCTTGTAACAAAGCCGTTCTCCTTGCGACAAGCAGCGTCCGCGACAAACCTGCGCGACAAGCCTCCGCGACAAGCCTTTGCGACAAGCCCCTTCTTATATGAGTATGCCATGTCGCTACGCAGGCAAACATTTGTGAGCTCTTCTTTGGAACTGTGCAGGTGAAGCCCTGAATGCAACGGTTATGGGTACCCGCTCCGCGACATGCCCTGCGACATACCGCGACATACCCGCGACAAGTCATCAAGTGGCTCTGGCCAATACTTACCTGTATTCCGATCGCCTCATGTGTCGCGAGCAGCCGCGCCAATTGGGGGCACCTGTGGTGCAGGTCAGGCAGGCCGATATTTCGGGCTTAGGGTTGAGGGTTTAAAGGGTTGAGAAGTCGGCTATAGTTCGGCTATGTTGCTGTTGAAGTACGGATTTCATATCCCCTCTTCAAGAGCAGCGTGCGAAACAGCCGCGACAAACCCCGCGACATACGTATGAAACAAGTGGGCGCGACATACGCATGTAACACTGGCGGGGGGCGGGACACCGCGACATACCCCCATTTAGACCCACAGCAATATATATATATATATATATCTATCTATATGTATATAAGTTGTATGTATTAGATCTCTGGACTTCCTTCACAAGATTCTGGACCCTAAACTCCTCTACACTCTCTTAAGTGTTGGCTTTTAAAGACCCCCAAGTGCCAAGAAGACTTTCAAGACCTATGAACCATAGGAGCGCCAAGCACAGGGGCAGCTCCACTGAAGGACATGCACTTGTGTTCAGCGTTATCTGGGTGTGTGCGCCCGTGTGTTGCGCATCATGGTTTGTTGACAGCATCCCAGCATACCTGGAGAAGAGAAGCAGCTTTGCACAATTTTAAGCCGAGGAATGTGGAGAGAGCTGGGAATTGAAGCAAAGCAGGGGGACCACGTGCATGATTGGCGTCGCATCAGCATGGTGGCTATTCAAGATATTACTCCGACAGCCGCTTCGTCGACCGCACTGCAGTGCGAGCAGATCCATGGTGGTTCCTTTGCAAGGGGCATCTGCAAGGACCGAGCCTATAGGCAGGCCACCCAAGATTACAGTGAAAGATCAAGGCTAACCCCCCATGAACGCGTAGAGTCGTAGAGCGATGGTGATCTCTCCAACTGCTTCCCAGAGTCCGGAAGCAATGGTGAGTTGGAAGCAGTAGTAGTCTCGGTAGTTGTGGTGCTCGCTCAATCTTTGTGCGCTTGGAAGCAAAAGCTTGCCGGTTACGGTTGCCGTACTTTTCTGTCAGTCTTGCATCAGTATCTCTGGCCAGATGTTGCTTTCAGGACTGGACGAAGGGACCATGTCTGCGGGAGGCGAACTGTCGCTACGTCCACCTGCACAGTGCACCTAAGAAGGGCTGCTCACTCAGCGACGACCTCACGCAGGACCACAAGCCATCACTAGTGAAAGTACTCTTCCTGCCATTGTGCTCGGAAGTGTTGCGCCGACGCCAACGCTGTAGCGTTCAATTCAGCGAGTGAGGTTTATTTTTTAATAATCTCGGGCTTGCTTTGGAATCTAGGACACGTGCCTCATCAGCGACCCGGAGTTGAGAGCAGCTCTGTGGCAGAAAATGCAGCAGGGCATCTTGCGCACTCCCCTGCAGGAGTTTTGTGAGGGGGTTTTGGAGAACGTTTGGTTGTATTGCTGCTATACGACTAGCACAACGTAGTCATCTACTTAACTGTAGAAAGAACAGACACATAGTTATGCTGTGGGCTTGATGGGGGGTTTTGCAGGAGTTATTGGAGAGGCTGCGGGAGACCAGGAGTGATCCGGCGATCTTCGGCATGCTCCAGGCAGAGATCGCCAATGAGAGTCTGGTGCTTCTGGTGACGGCACACACTGCCGAGAAGGCTCACTTCTGGCAGCATCAGGTGGGAGCTGCTCTTGCTTAGGGCTTAGGGCTTTGGAAAGGCAAGTAGAATTCAAACCGTCCGGAGCCTTCTGCGTAAGGAGCCCGGACCCACCCTTTTCCCCAAGGTCTTTCAGAATTTGGCCTCCGTCGCCGACGATGGCAAAGTGTGCATTCTGGTCTCGCCAGTCTTGCAGAGGCCGCCGGCATCACTCATGCAGTGCCTCATGAAATACTGTCAGCGCGAGCTCTTGCTGCCTTCCTACCCGCACCTGAGGAAGGTGTGCCAGTCATCCTTTGCTTTGCATCTGCTTCCCTCGGGATTGACCAAACTGGCGAAGTATGTCGGCTATGCTTACGTCAAGCCTGGGGGCACCATGAACACGCGCCTCTGGAGAGTGAAGTTCCCTGGCAAAAGCTTCACAAGCAGGTGGAAGCCTTCGGACAACATTCTTCAGAGGAAGGAGGACCTGGCCAGCTTCATTGGGGGCTCCTCTTCCAAATGGCCCTGCGTGGGAGTTCTCTTGGAGTCCGCCCGGATTTTCGGGCCGCCCTCCCTGCAACCAAGGGCCGACCGACGCAGCCGCCTCACGGCGCTGCTGTGGCTTCTGGAGGACATCGAGGGAGCCGACAAAACCACTGGTTCGGATGGCGCGGGCAGTCAGGATGAGAGTGAGGAGTGCAATCAGTGGGATGAGTTCGGTGAGTACGGTGAGGATGGGTGGGACTACGACTGCGAGGAGATTCACTCCTTGGCCTCTCAGGCATTCTCGCAGACGAAGGATCCATGGCCGATCCCCGAGGATCTTGAGCTGAATGTTTGGCCGCGGCATGTTGATCACTATTCTGTCGAGGACACAGTCGTGTGGTGCTGCAAGCGGGCTGCGTCCCGACAGCTTGGGGCCTTGCAGGGGAAGCGTGTGATTCGCATGACGGCAGGCCATCACCTCCTGGGAGTTTTCGTGCAGAACCTAATTTATGGCCTGGAGGCGACTCCCGAAGGCTCGCTGGAGCCCGAGAGGGTACAATCTCTTCTCTGTCGTGTGGGGGCAGCTCCTGCACAGTACGCAGACGTGCTGCCAGAAGGCTCTTCCTTTGATCTGGTCCTTGCTGTCATGGTGGCCTGCTTCTACAGACAGCTGCGGGGGTCCAGCTGTCACGGTGCACTCCGTGTGCCAGAAGTCTTAGAGGGCCTGCTCATCGCAAAGGCTTTGTGCCGAGGGCAGGGTCGCTGCCACCAACTGCGGCGGAGCATCCTCGGTCTTCTCCGACGGCACCCCGTACTTCTTGGGCGCGTTGAGACCATGTGCCGCGGAGGCAGTGTGGCTATGGGTCTGGACACAACGAACTCGGACCATGACATCTTCTTGTGCCTGCGGGACGGAGGACAGGATATGGTCGAGGAGCTGCACCGCGTGGTCTTGGAGCTGAAGGAGACCTGCGGGCGCGTCCGGCTACAGCGAGCGGAGGTGGTGAAGAAGGATTTCGCTGTGGAGATCAAGAACTACTACCGCCACAGGGACTTCGACTTGGTGCCCGTCACTTTTCTCCAATCCCACGTGGGGGAGCAGCAGTGGGATCCGCAGCGCCAGGTGTGGCAGGCGCTGCTGCACCCGCGCTTGGCCCCCAAGCTTCAGCTCCTGAGCGAAAAGCATCCGAGTGCCTTCTTCGCCATGCGCCTGGTGAAGATGTGGAATGAGACCTTAGACCTCCGCCAGGGCAAGCCGCCGCTGGTGACGCTGCACATTCCACTGCTGACTTTGGGAGCATGGCAGTCCGGGCGCCTGGAGGAGTGCGACAGCCTCCAGGCATACCTCCTGCAAATCTTGCAATACATTCAGGAGAATTGGCTGCGCCAAGATCTGGGGAGTGAAGAGACATTGCTCCGAGAGCTCGAGGTAGAACCCCACCTGCGTCGCATGATTGCCAAGTATGGCGACGCCATGCGGCAGGATTTCCCCCGTGTTCTCGAGCAAGGCCTTCAGTGGCTTCGTACCGCTTCCAGGCCCAGAGCCGATGCCTCTGCTGCCCAGCTGGTGGAAGGCACCTGCCGGCTCTTCGGTTGCGGTCAGCTGCTGAGCCGTAACCCCTGCAGCCGCTGAGGACTGGCCTTCGTTTGGGGAAAGCTCTTGTGTGCAACTGGGCGCAACAAAATTGAGCCTGAAGCTTCAGGGTGACACTCGACCAAGCTTTGGCAGCTCAAAAGGCGATGCCCCCCACTTGTGCTGCGCCTGGTGCTGTCGAGTTGTTCTGGGCGTGGACTTGCGCGAATGCACAAGAATGCCCTTAAGCCTGGCAAACCTGGACCCTGAGCAGCCTAAACTGGCCTAAACCCAAATCCCAGTGCCCAAAAGCGTCGAGCGCAAAACCTTAGCATTCGCACACGTGAGTTGGGAGGCGATGCCTCGTGAACAAGAACCTATCAGTGTCCAGGTCCTGTCAGCTTTCAGATTGTTTTAGCCTGACATGAGGCTCCCAAAAGCCCCCTTTTAGGCCTCAGCCTTGCAAGCTTTACAAAGTAAACGTATCTGAAGTCCAGGGTTTAGGGTTTAGGGGTTACAAGGGTTTAGGGTTTAGGGTTCATGATGCGGGGTTCAGTATCAGAGACCCTCCTCTCCCCGTGGACAGGAAGGCCATGCGCAAACCTCGTGGGGGCCAAGGCTTTTCCGCCCATGTTCAGGTTTGTTCTTCCGGTGAAGTACGGCTTCGGCAGGTAGAAGAGCAGCCACGAATCTGTATTCATGTAAACATACATACATATGTACGACATATGGATAATGGCATGCGCGGTACGTAGTTTGGGGGGCTGGAGGTTTTTGGGGGCATCCGCCGATTTAATACCAGAGCATCGGTCAGCTGCAAGCGCTTCATGTATGCCGCTCCATGGGGCGGCTTTTGCCCCCACTGCTTTTAAGGTGAGAAGCCCCAGCGTCAATTCCTCGGTTCTGGGCAATCGGAACAGAAACCTTAAGAAGCGAAACCTTTTTGTCGCCCATCCTGGTAAGCCGCTTCGCCCTAAAGCCTCTAAGGCTCCGAGGGCGAGCTTGGTCTACAGCTGGCCTAGTGGCCATGGCCCTGCTGACTTTCACGGCCCCTCTGAGCCAGCTTTGTAGTCCTGTTAGCTGTAGGTTTTAGGGTTTCGGGTTTAGGGCTCAGGTTTCGAGAACGCTCGGAAGGGGAGACGCGTGATCTACGCTCGGAGGAAAAAGAGTTGTGTGCTCACTGCTTTTCGGAGGGTTCTTGGCCCCTGCCCAGCGCAGCTTGCCCCCTAAGGCCAGCGACTTGTAGCATCTTGGCCCAAAGATTGGCCTGAAGGTGCCAAAAAAAAACAGGGGGGAAGCCATGGCACTTGACAAGCGTTTTGTGGTGGCTCTGGCATTAAATGCACTGGGCTGTTTCTTGGTCTACGAGCTGCTCAACTTAGTTAGATCAGGGCTTTTTCCAAGCGTTCCATAAAAGTAACGTCTCGAGTTCTGCCTTCTTTTTCGCAGCCCTTGAATGGCCCCTAGCCGAGGTTCGTGAGCTTGAGCCCTGGGATCCCTGAGAACCGCGAGCCCGCGCCCTCCGCAAAGAACGCAGGGCGCAGGCTTAGCGCGACAAAGGCGCCTGCTCGTTGCGAGGGAGGAGCTTGGCACTTTGCTGTTTAGGGAGGGGTTCGTAGAGGGTCCTCTTTAGTTTTGTTGGAATCTTTGAAAGGACTTTTCAGAAAGCTATTAGGCTAAGGGCCGTTTGGGCCCTCTGGGCGTTTCGGATTGGGGCGCTGGGCTCGGCCCACTTGCCGTCCGCCCTGTACAGCCCCAAACACACTCTTTGTTTAACAGCGCCCCCTCGAATATCCTAAACCCTAGCCTAAACCCTAAACCTCCCAAAATGCCCTGCAGATCGAGATCGTCGATGGCGCCTTCACTCAGGGCGGCAAGAAGATCGGCAGGCACCCAGGCAAGATCTTTGGTGCCTTGGCCCTCGCGCTTCCTTAGGAGGGGTTCGGCTCGAAATGGACGAAAGGAGGGTCCCTTATCAGGGTTATTTGGGGGTTATCTAGAGGGCTACTTAGGTAGGGACTTTATAAGGCGTATATTATATATATATATATATATCTATATATAGGGGATACATATATATATATATATATATAGATACGTGTAGGGGAATAAGATCAAGGGTCCCTTCTACTGAGCTTCGCAGGTTGCTACTCTCGAATTACTGGAACTGAGGTGTTGGCGGCAATGACTACACAGCGCTGGCACAGGAGCTAGGCTTTGAGGCTCGCGTTTTGGAGCAGCATAGGGTCCCCCTTTTGAGAACTTATCGCCCTAAAGCCTAAACCCTGGTAGTAATGACGATTCTGGTGGGGTGGTCCCTGGCTCTGCATGGTGCACTAGTCTCACCCACAGCTCCGCCCATTTCTCGAAGCCCTAAACTCTATAGCCCCGTTTTTCTTCCCCCCCCCCACCCCCCCCGCCTCCCCTTTCTGTGGAAGGCTTTCCGAACGTGGGGCCGCGACCAGCTTCCCTGGGCTATGAAACTCGGATCCTGAGAGGTGCTCTCTCCAGGCATTCTGTTTTTTTTTTTTTTTTGGGGGGGGGGGGCGGGGGGGGGGCAGGGAGGGTCTGAACCAGACAAGATTGCTCTGGAACTGTTCAAGAGCGGCTCAGGGCGGTCCAATGCAGCAGCAATGGATCTGAAGCATGTCTTCAGGGTTTAGGGGGGTTTAGGGGCTTCAAGCTTCTGTCGCCGTCGCATTGCGAGCGTTCTTTCACCGGGAGATCAAACCATACTCATGATGTGTCGGCGAAGCTGCTGGACGACCCCCCTTTTTGAACAAATTGGTTGCTTGGCCTCGCTATACAGAAGAAGTTTAGAGAAGGGAATGATCGTTTTTTAGGGCTTTCCTCATGACGTGAGATCTTGAGATCCTGGCAGCCAGGCCTCAGGTTTCTTGGGTTTTTTTAAAGCTTTCTTGGGGCTTTTACAAGGGTTTCAGAAGGCAAGCTACCTTCAGCTCAGGTTCAGGCTCAGGAGGGATGGACTCAGGTTCCAGCTCACCATATCTTCAGATGACCACCCGCTAGTGAGCCAGCTTTTGAACATCCTTGACAACTCACAAGAGGGCCTGCAAACCCTGTAAGCCCCGAACCCTATAATAGCCCTATAAGACCCCAAAACAACCAAAAGCAAAAGACACCCCAAGGATCGAAGCAGAGAGGGCGAGCTTCTTTGTCATGGTGGCTTGGCAGACTTCAGGAGGGCGGTGGCGGTTCCCATGAGGGCCTTGCGGTGTGGTTGTGTAGGGTTTAGGGTTTAGGGTTAGTTGTGCTGTCTCCTGCTTCTAAGGCTGGCCTTGACATGACCCGCGACCCCAGATACTACGCCGAAGGGAGCGAGCACTGCTCCGATGACTTGGAAGCGAGTGATTACTGGAAGTCAGCGCTCCGGAGCATACTGCGGGAGGTGAACACGTACAAGAGCGATCCTCATATTCTCATGTGGCTGGCTTCTTGCCTGACATTAAAGCATACAGAAATGTTCAATATTTATATAGGATTATATTTACCAAAAGAGATTTATTATTATTATTTTTTTATTTTTATTATTATATACTATTATTGTTAATAATAGTCTTTTTGCTCATGCCCAGCACTCCTTGCCAGTACTGCAGCCACCGAGGTCGGCAATGAGATGGAGATTCCGATTGACACAAAGGCCGGCAATGACTGCTTGTGGAAGCGCGTGAACTGGAAGCTTGTCCCGCAGATTTCTTGGAGCAGAGCAAGTGCCGAACCCCAAAGTTCCAAAATGCCATATATATATATAATAATAATAATACTAATAATAATAATAATAATAATAATAATTAATAAATAAATAAATAAATAAATAAATAAATATATATATACACAGTCCCTGAAGCACCAGCACAGAGCCAGTGATGTCTCATCCGCGCTTCTTTCGAAGTCCCGAACAAGGAAGGGGAGGCAACACACCGGAAGTCAGCACCCCCAAAGCCTCTTGAAGCTGAGGGTGGCCGGAAAAGTCAAAGAGGTCGCTCGGCACAGGGAGAGCAAGAGGAGAGAGCGATGGAGCGAGGAGGCAGACAGACAGAAGGTTTGGGGCTGTGCCGTCAGTGGAGCCTCCTGGGAGAAAACACATGGGGGGTTTGGGGCTTTACAGAGACTATGTTGGCAACAGCGACCAAGCTTGTCTTGATTTTGTTTTACTCTTGTTTTTCTTGGGGGGGTTGGCGACTTAACGACTGATGGGTTTTAAGGATCTTCGGGGTTTAACTGTCAAGGGTGGAGTCGCTCAAGTGCCTTTCAGGATTTCAAAATTAACCTTTTCGGCCCAGCATCCTCAGCAATATGGGTTCTTAAGGGCGAGCCTTAAGGGAAGCTTGGGGAGCCTTAGGGAGTAGTGGGGAGTCTGAGTCTGAGGCAACCTTGGGTTACATACCCCCCTCCCTCAAGATCTCTTAGTAGAACCCTAAACCCTATTTACAAACCCTAAACCCTAAACCCTAAACCCCCCTAAACCCCCAGGAAGACCCGGATCATCCGGTGGGCGTCGCCTTGGCCGGGATCGCCTCGCAGCTTGGCTGCGCAGCCTCCTTCGAGTGGGGTTTCCAGGGTGGAAGGGGTTTTTTTGGGGGTTTAGGGTTTAGGGTTAGGGTTTTCCGGGTTTAGGGTGTAGGGCTGCAGACGGCAGCTGACGGATTCCCGAGTCTGCGAGAGAGAGAGAGAGGGTGTAGGGTTTAGGGTTTAGGGTTTAGGGTTTAGGGTTTAGGGTTTAGGGTTTAGGGTTTAGGCTTTCCAGGGTTCAGGGAATTTGGGGTTTAGGGTTTCCTGTGACAAGGCCCATGCGTAAGCTTCAAGCCATCAGTCTATGGAGGCCTATCCTAAACGATGCCTGGGCTCTCTCGGCGTGGGAGTCGGGGATTTCACACACCAGAAGTCGCAGTAGCCAGGCACAAGAGTTTTGCAAAACTGATGCTGATAACGAACAAAAAACTGCGAACAAAAAGAGGGTTTCCTGGGTTTAGGGTTCAGAGTTTAGGGTTTATGGTTTCCTGGGTTTAGGGGTGTTTCAGGATGTTTAAGGGGTTCCCAGGGTTAGGGGTTGGGTCTTGGAGACTTAAGGGCTCAGGCACGAATGGCGCGAGCCCAACATGCCACAGTGTTGACACGTGTGCAGAGTATGGCGCCGCAGTGCAGAATCCACTGCGAGCGCTGGCCGCCACATCATTTCCTGTTTAGGGCATCCATCTTCAGAGCGCCTTGGGGGTGACCCTGAGATCTGCGCTATTTTGGCTTGGGCCCTGTGCTAGAGTGGCTTCTGAACACGTTTAGGACGGTTGAGGGCAGGATTGTCCCATTTGCGTTGCACCCATCCTAAACCCCATAGACCCTACTCACGGAAGGAGCCCATCGGGCATCGCCCAGAATGCTGCAACTGCCAAGGCCCAAAGTGAAGAAGATGGTCGAACTCTGCCCAAACATTGAGGTGGGTATTGAAGAGGGCTTCGAGAGCTTGGCAGAATTGGGGGAAGGAGACACCTTTTCGCAGGTCCTGGGAACCAACATCTATGGCCGAAGTCTTAGCCTTCAGCGGGGCATCGTACTCTGTGCTTCTCGTTGTGTGGGGTAAACCGGCATGGATTCTGCTTGATTTCAGCGTAGGCTGGGTGGTAGCGTGTGCTGGGAATTGCTGCCTGTGTGAGCTGAGTTACATGGATGCCCGGCTTATTCACCCCAACTTCGCTCAAAGATGCGGAATGCGCGGAATGCAACGCGGGCCGAGGCAACGAGATTCGAGACGTCGGCGAGCGGCTGCGTAAGGACGGCTGGACCAAGCCGTGGGCCCTCCTGCGAAACCTTTCAGAGCCCAAATTGGGTTTCGGGGGGGTTTTGGTTTTCACTTGGGTTTGCGCTGCCCGGTACCCTGATATCTGTTCACTCCGAATAAGAAATTTGAAGTGAACCTGAAGTATCTGTTACTGGAGTCCTGGGTTTGGATGCCGCCTTGCTACTGTATGTAGGGCGTGCTTTCTCCAGTAGGGCAACTCAGACACAAAATGACGTCGACGTGCTTGAGTTTGCACATAGCGTGCACCGCATCTGGGGAGTCCGGACCTAGCTTGAAAAGGAAGCTAATTTGTTATATTTTGTTATGTAAGTCTTTGGCTATCATGATGTTTTTCTTGAGCATGCTGAAGATCCCTGGAGAAAACTCCACACCCTGGGATGCAGCTATCTTTAGTTTAACGAGGTCTGGCATGGTTCGAGTTTGTGGTTCTGATCTGTGTTTTTCAAACTGGGCCTCCCTCCTAAGCCCTATACAGCTTCCCCGCTCCCTCTGTCTTTGGATTTGGATAGCTCGTTGTAAGGCGCAAGACGCAGTCTTGTAGTTGCATGAGCTAATGTGTCGAGTCGCAGATTTCACCTCGTCCCCTTGAGCTTATGACATGAGGGGCAACCTGTCTGGGTGACTGTTCATCGTGATGTGGGGAAAACTGAGCTTGTTCGGCTTAAAGGCGGGGAAGGTTGAGCATGGAGTTGCTCGGTTTACCTGCGCTTCAAAGTGGCACCGTCCTCCAGTCCGTCGTGAGAGTCAGCTAGGCAGGTAGGTGTCGGTGGCCCCTAAGCTCACAACCCGAAAATCCGAACACCCTGAACCCCCGCAAACCGCTTGAAAGACAAAACACACATCCCGAGGCCTTCACAGAATGTGGGGCGCTGGGTCCCTGGGAGGCCGGGTCAGGGTTTCAAAAGTGTTCGGGCGCTTCGGGTGTTTTGGCGTTAGGGCTTATAGGGATATTTGTGGGGTATATAAGTCTCGACCAAAGGGCTTGGAGCCGCATTCTCAGCACGCCACTCTGAAGCAAAGAAAGGTCGGGCCGCGATGTGGCTCCCTAAACCTTCAACCCTATATGATATAGCCCCCCCTCCAAAGAGAGCAGAAAAAGCTGAGGCCCTGCAAAAAAAAAAAGCCAAGGAGCCCTATCAGCCCCATCAGCCCAGCCCAGACTGGCTAAGGTGCCGCAGACGTCCTGGGGCGCGCCGATGGAACAGCCCCCCGGCCAATAAGCCCAAAGGAGAGCAGGGCCCTCAACGTCCTAAGCCCAGAAACCCTGAGAGGGCTCAGATTGGGCGGGGGGGCTCAGATGGGGCTTCTGATGGAGGGCTCAGAGGGTGTTTTGGCATGTCTTCGGGCTTTTCAGGGGTTCTTTGTTGCTTGAGGGGTGCCGGGTTCCTAAACCCTATAAGCCTTGCCTTGTTTTGCCTTGTTGCTTTCTGTTGCTTTCTCTTGCTTTCTTGCTTTCTAATCAGGTCCTCCACAGAGAAAGGGCGCTTCATCATGAAAGGCCTCCGCATGTGCGATGACGATGCAGCTTGGGATTGAATCGGGAGGTTTCATCGCGGCTTTGGGTTTTGGGGGGTTTCGGGGCCTCAGGGGCCGTTGAGCCCTTGAGAGTGTGCAGTGTTCCCCTCTTTTTATTCCGGGGCCTTCCAGCCGCCAAGTACGACTCCAAGACCCGCCTTCACAGAAAAAGAAGTCCTACCAGCTCTCAGGAGATGTGCGTGAGCTTCATGGCCTTCCTTTGGGGCTGGAAGTGGGAGAAGACGGGTACCTGGTTTGGCCTCATCAACGACTGGACGGAGGCGAAGGGCTTCAGCCACCGGGCAGGTTTAAGCTCAGAGCCGGCTGGGTGTGGAGACTTGGGATATGTTCACCCTTATGCTAACAGTCCTTAATCGGGATGATCGTACCCCCGATTATCATCCCATCCCTACTAAGGACTGTTGGTATAAGGGGGAACACCAAGTGGAGAGTCTCACACTCCAGTCTTGAGTCTTGGGGGGCCACTCGAAGCCTCCACTCTCAAAGGCTTCCTGAACGACATCGGGCAGCCAATTTACGACGAGTTCGGCCCGGAGGAGCAGAAGGCCTTCAGGAGCCCACCCCTGAAACCACCCCCAACAATCACTCGCTTTTGGCAAGACACCCCTAAACCCTAAACCCTAAGCCCCAAGCCCTAAACCCTAAACCCTAAACCCTAAACCCTAAACCCTGTTTTGAGCCAGGATCCACATCGAAGGCTTCAAGGTCGATGGGGACAAGTCCGTGGATCACCTGGGCTTCGCGGCCACGAAAGGTGCAGAGGTTCAGCTGGATGTCTTGCCGGTCGTGCCTTGACTCTCAGGGCCTCCGTGGAAGGAAGGGGATGCAAGGGTCCTAGCTAGTCCGCTACGGGATTCGATTCTGTTGACAAGAAACGAAGGAATACCCTGCTTTAGGGAAGGGTTGCTGTTAATGTGTGCAAAGAGGCGACGCCTTTCGACGGTGACAATGGAGCGTGGGCCTGGTGGGTTGTGACGAGGGCTGCCTGGCTTTCGACATTGCACAAGGGACTTTCTAGACCCCATCAGAAGGCTCTCTGTAGAATGCCATAGAAACACAAGGCAAACACCTCTTGTAGACCCTGGGTGGGTCACTCCGAGGAGAGCCTGGTGCATGCCAAGTCCGATGCCAACATTCCCGAAGAGACGCAACCGGTGATCCCGGGGGTCGTCGCGGCCTGCCCCGGAAGCTTCCGTGCGAAGCTGCAGACCTCGATGCTGGATGAAGGCCGATATCGCCTCTACGTCTTTGTGAGGAGGAGACGGCACCTTTTTTCCTTGAGCGGTGCATGGAAGTGTGCTTGTAAGAAAAAGCGGCTCAGAGCGGCTTCATGTCCTGCCCATGTGGAGGAAGCACGAGGGAGGATTCGAGCACTACCCAGAAACTGTGGAGGCTCCCCCTCTCGCTTCCAGCAGTAATTCTGAATCTGTCGGGTGCGCAGTGTTCGAGCAGTGGACTCGTCGAGCTCGAGTAAATCCGAGTAACCACCACAAGAATCTCGGTCCTTGTTGAGGGGCCCATTGGGCTTGGCAGAGAAGCAATCTGATGGCCCCTTGAACCCTCTTCACTCTGCAGGCATCCCTTGCGGTTCCGTTTTACGTCGGGGAGCAGCGCTGCGAGGACGTCACGTCGGGATACTGCTTCGACGAGGCTTGAAGGGGACCTGGGGTGCTTGCAATCCTTTGCATCAAAACTGCATATGCTCTCTCTCTCTCTCTCTCTCTCTCTCTTTCTCTCTCTCTCTCACCCCATCTTGGCAGGTGACCCGTGTCATGACCAGCACAAAGCGGATGGGCTATGCCATGTGGCCTCTGAGCTTTTGACAAAGAGTCTGTTCGCACACATGTCCTTCTTGCATCAATGCCCTGCTCCCCGCGCCCAAGCCACATGACGTAGAATGCAGCCCAGGCCTGCGGAAGGTACCTTTCCCCATTCGGACTTCAAGGCATCTCGGAGGGTTCACGCTTTGACACGCCATGATGGGCTTTCAGCCATATTGGGGTTCCGAAGCCTCCACACAGTCGTCCCGCAAGTGAAAGCTGCGTTCCCAATGGCAGGAGGTCCAGGCTTCGTTGCACATGGTGAGCGCCTTCTCTGAACATCTGCTTTCCTTCATGGTGGAGCTCATGTATAGGGCTGTGGCTTTTCAAGTCAAGACACCATGCACACTGGGTCAGGGTCACATCTGAAGCAGCATGAAGAACCCGCAAATGTCCAACTCCCATCCCAAGATGACCCAGACATTCCCAGACCACGCCGGCTGCCCGGCGGCGTGCTCTGTGCAGATTCCGGCGGATGCCACGACCGCGACTTTGAACTGGGTTTGGAGGGTGGGGGAGGGGTGGAGGTGTTGCGATTTACGGGGGCTCGGAAGGGTTTCGGGAGTTCAGGATGTCAGGGCTTATGGGTGTCGAGTGTGCAGGCGGTTGTCGAAGCCAGAGGGCAGGTAACCGAGAAATGCTAGGTGTTTGGTGGTTTCGGCTTACAGCGTGGGAGGATTGAACACAAGGCACCTGACACTCTGAGAAAAGTAAGCCTTCAAAACAACATCTGGTTCAAAAGCCCAAAATGATTCGGGGATCCCAGGACTGCTCCGAGGCACCCGAAGTGCGCTATGAGGCGGACGTGCCGACAATACAGAAGCTGCCCCTCTGCCTGCAGAGGACTTGCCGACAAAAAAACGAAAAAAGGCCGTCAACCCTGAGCCCACCCTGAAACCTGAAACAGCAAGGCCCTCAAGGAGGCGGATCCCAAAGCTTGTCCTTTGAACGCTGTGGCTTTGGGTTTTTGTGTGTGTGTGTGTACGCGCGCGGGCGTGAGCCTGAGCGGTGTCTTGTGTATAAGGCTTGGCTTTGCCAGTGTCAGTGTCAGTGAGGTTTGAACCTCCGGAGAACCCTTACGTGGCGGGGGAGTGCCACACCGCGGTGCCTCATGAAGAGTGCCTCCTGTCAAGATCCGCGGGCCAGAAGCGCAGGTGTGTATATGTCTATGTATATGTACATGTATATGTATATGTATATGTATATAATTATACATATATATATATATATATATATGTGAGCGACCGTCAAAATTAGCGTTGATGAGCTTTTGTAAGGGACGGAGATAGCGGAAGAGCGGTTTAACCTGCAGAACGATATGGGACACGCAGAAAACGATAACCCGAACATCCATGTCCTTCAGCTTAACAGGTAATATTGCCCGCTTCTCATACATATATATATATATATGTGTAGACATGTAAAAATGAATGTATGTGTAGATGTATACGTATATTTCTATACACATGCTCACCCTCCCCCCGCCTCCTCCATCAATCCCCAGTTGCCGGCTTCAATCCTATGAAGGTAAGCTCAGTGCATGGCCCATACCATAAATAATCTGAAAGTACTGTGCCAAAACATGTGTGTGTTTTTACAGAAAAAACTTCTGCATAACTTCTGGACATCGCTATTTCGGGATGTGGCGGGACACCAATATTCACAAGTAGGGTCAACTATCTGACACCTGCTTCGGCATAAGTATCATCATCAGGTGCGAGATGCTGATGACATGTTTGGCTTTTTCTCCTATTGACGTGTACATAGCAAGGGAACCTTTCCACAATTACATCTGAGTAGAACTCTTGCATAGTCAGATCGGAAGTTTGTTGGAATTGGAGTTGAAGATTGAAGATCCCGCAGAACACTTGTCTCCCCGAGGAGAAAATTCCAAAAGGCATGTGTATGGAATCTTCAATCTTCAATTCCAGGAAAGTTTCATCTTTGTTTTGTTGAAAGCCTGAAAGTTGTCATCTGGGAAAATATGGTCCAAAGCTCAACCCTAAACCTGACTCCCAGAACTGGATCTGCATGCGAGAAAAACAACCAAAAAACGTCAGGGGGGGAGGGAAGGGGGGGGGGAGTTGCCCGAGTTATAACCTTGCTTATAAGTACCCAACCTCCAAGCAAGTGCCACCCCAGATGCCGAACATCCCTAAGCACCAAACCCTAAACCCCAGCCCGAAGCCCGAAGCCCTAAACCCTAGCCCTAAACCCTGTTGGGAGTTCAGCCGAGCAAGGCTGGTACTCCACGAAGTGGCTGATGGAGGAGGGCCGCTTCACCACACCCGACTTCCCGGAGGCCCCTGGCGGCTTCGGGCGCGCGCGGCGTAGGTAGGCCTAAGGGCTATACCCAAAGGCTCCTATGTAGTACCTTTTTGGGGTAGTATACCAGAATCCCCTATTAACTAACCCAAAAAGGAACTACATTGGAGCCTTTGGGTAGAAGAAGAGGTGGAGAGTGCTTCTTCCCCATATCTTCGTCGCCTAAGGCCTACGGAGCGCTGTTGTTGTTGGGAGAGTTGGGGGGCCGGGGGAGCGATGTGAGCTTGGCGAAGCGCAGCACATGCTCGCAGTTGGACGAGAGCTCCACCTGGGAAGAAGGGCAGCTGGCCTTGTACCATCGGGCCAGAAACAACTGCAAGAAGCCGTGTACGGGCGTGGCTGGGCAGAAATATGAGCTTCTGAGGTTTTTGAAAGGGTTTTCAGGGTCTGTCGACGATGTGCCGTAGGGAGAGGCGTTTGATTCAAGGCTTGGTGTTGTGCTGTGCAAGGACGAAGGAAGATCCGAGCCAAAGAAATCAGAGGCGGCGCTTCTTTGACTTGCGTCTGAGAATGCCATGAGACGCATAAAGCCCGGGTTAAACAAGCACCAGAGGGAGCTGGGAGCCTCTCCAGGACTGCCACACTTCCGTGGAGCCTGAAGATTGCTCCCTGGCATGGTTTTGGGGCGGCTAGGCACTGATCAAGTCTGCTGCTCGAAGCGAGGCTACTGGGCCACAAAGTGGCTGATGGACGAAGGCAGATGGACGAATCCAGAATGGTTCCCCGAGGTGCAGAGCCTGGAATGACAGTCGAAACAAGGGTCTCACTTGTCTCTCGCTAGTCCTGCGTGATCCTCCTTCGTTCTAGAGGAGGTGACGTGACTTGCGGAAATGGGGGGTTGGGGGCCGCAGAAATCTCTCGTCAGGTTACGGCCGAGTCCACCTGGGAAGATGCCCAGGAAGCACTGTGGACGCGTTCAAAGAACAACTGCCAGAAGCCCTGCAGGAAAGCGACTTGACCCGAGAGAGGTCGGTTCTTGAAGCTTTCGTGAACTAGTCTGGGGGCTCTCAAACACATGACAAGGGCCCAAAAACATCTCACAAAAACCCAGCCCACTGGAACATCGTATGTGCTTCCACCGGCAAGCCCCAGGAAGAGCCGACGACGACGAAAGAGCCGGAGACGACGACGAAAGAGCCGGAGACGACGGAAGAGCCGGAGACGACGGAAGAGCCCGAGCCGGAGACGACAAAGGCCCAGATGTGATCAGAGAAGGTGAGATGAGCTCGCCCTTCTCGGAAATAGAGCGAGAGCTCCTTCTCCCTGAGAGGAAGACTGCTACACCTCGGTGGAGCCTGAAGACTGTTCCCGTCTGGCAAGCTCGGTTCGAGGGGGGAGGGCGGCTTCGAGGTTTTCGGGAAACCCTTCCAAGATCATGGAACTTGGAGAACCCTCGACCCCTCGAAGCCCCCATGAACCCTAAAAACCCTGCACCCCCTAAGCTGTGTGGCCGGTCTGCTTGGCGGGTGACCCAACCCTAAAGGCCCTAAACCCTAAGTACCTCCAGCCCCTGAACTTAGGCTTCTGGGGCACGAAGTGGCTGATGGATGAAGGCAGATGGAAGCATCCGGAGTGGTTCCCGGAGGCGCCCTCCTTTGGTTGAGTGGTTTACGGCTTTACGGCCTTCACAAGCGTTTTTTTTTTTTTTTTTTTGGGGGGGGGGGGGCCTTCTGTTTCTTCTTTTGTCTTTGTAGTAGGGTTTAGGGTTCAGGGATTGGGGGCTTAATAAGGTTGAGAGCGAAAGCAAGTGAGCCGGCGATAACCTGGTGCCACAGACCGCTTCTAAGAGTGGCAACCCCCTGGAGGGTCTGCGAAAAGAGACGCAAGCAGCCAACTGTGGAAGATCCAACAGAATTCTTGCTTTAGGGTTAGGGTTCGCGGTTTAGGGTTTAGGGTTTAGGGTTTAGGGTTTAGGGTTTAGGGTTTAGGGTTTAGGGTTTAGGGTTTAGGGTTGCAGCTTGGGGTTGAGGTTGAGATCCTATTAGGGCTCTCGGGGGATGGTGTAGGGCTCAAAGCCCATGCTGTCCCAATGGCTGTAGCGTGTAGCGTTCGCGAAGGGAAAGCTGCGTGCTTCATTGCAGGTCACGGCCGAGTCCACCTGGGAAGACGCCCAGGAAGCCCTGTGGAAGCGTGGCCAGAACGGCTGCCACAAACCCTGCGCCCCTGCGACTTGGAGATCAAGGTCGGCGGATTGGTTGAGGCTGAGTGGGGCTGCGCACTACTGTCGTGTAGTGTTTAAGGGGTCTGAAAAAGCAACGGGCGCCCAAGTCAAGTCAGAGCCCCTTTCCGGGGGTTTCCCGAGATGTACCTGACTGAAAACAAGGAATCTGAAGAGACGCCGGAGACTGAAGAAGAGGCATGGTCCAAGAAGATCAGCGTTCGGATTGAGGGTGGGGCATGACCTTCAGGAAGACTGCCACAATTCGGTGCCGCCGGAAGATTGCTTCTCGGCATGGGACAGACGTCTTTGAGTAAACTTGGTAATCATGCTTGCACCTCGAATTATGAGGCTACTATGCCACCAAGTGGCTGATGGACGAAGGCAGATGGAAGCATGCACATGCGTTCCCGGAGGCACGGCGCCTAGGATGAGACTTGGGATCGGCATCTCTCTGGCCGGTGGCTCAGCGTAATCTTCGGCGCTTACGAAAGGGGCGGCAGAACAGAGGTTACGGCCGACTCCACCTGGGCAGATGCGCAGCACGCGCTCTGGAAGCGCTCGGAGGGCAGCTGCAAGAAGCCCTGCGCGCCGGCGTCTTGAACTTGACTAAACTTGCAACAATGAAGGTGTGTGTCGCAGTGCGCCGTATGTCTTCGTAGAGAGTAGAGACCCAGGAAGAGCCAGAGACGACGAAAGAGCCGACGACTGAAGAGCCGGAGACGACTCAAGAGCCGGAGCCCGAAGAGCCGGAGACGACCCCGGAGCCCGAAGAAGAGACGGTGCCCAAAGAGGCACAGCCAGTTCTTAACAGCGCTGTGTGCCAGCCACTCCAAGAGCGTTGGGAATGGAGCCTCTCCCGTAGGAACCATGCTACACATCACAGCAGCCGGAAGACTGTTCCCTGGCAGAAAAGATGCCCTTGGACAAAATGCTCAAAGTGCCCTCATGTGCCCTCTGAGACTCCGAGGCTTCTGGGGCACCAAATGGCTGATGGACGAAGGCAGATGGGTTTATCCAGATGCGTTCCCGGAGGCGGATTCGGGGGGGGCTTTCTGGGCCGGCGAACCGACGTGACCTTTTTCTGTTGAAGGTCACTCTATGGCCTCTATAGTAATCTCTCCTCAGGTGACGGCCGACTCCACCTGGGAAGACGCCCAGGAAGCCCTGTGGAAGCGCGGCAAGAACGGCTGCCAGAAGCCCTGTCGGCCTGCAACTTGCCTGCGAAAGAAATACACGCAGCCCTTGTCCATTATGGGGGGGTTTACGCCAATAAGGGACCCCCAATATAGATCCCCAAATATCAGGATCCCCTTACAACCAGGAACCCAAGGAAACCCTAAACCCTATAAACCCTGTAAACCCTATAAACCCTCTAAACCCTATAAACCCTACACCCTAAGGTACCCTTAACTTCGGAAACGCCCCCCCCAAATTTGACAGGAATCTGAAGAATCCGGAGAGCCGAAGCCCGAGGAGCCTGCGGAGCCTGAGGAGCTCAAGGCAGGGCTGACTCGGACATCGCCCCTCCTTTTCCGGAAAAGGGTTTAGGGTTTAGGGTTTAGGGTTTAGGGTTAGGGTTTAGGGTTTAGGGACCTCTCCGAAGTGCTTGCAGGAAGAATGCTACACTTCCGTGCCGCATGAGGATTGTTGCCCGGTGTGCAGAGAAGGCTTGTGAGCTGGCCGGGTGCGGAGAAACATGCTCGGGCTGAGGCTACCATGCCACCAAGTGGCTGATGGAGGAGGGCAGATGGAAGCATCCAGATGCGTTCCCGGAGGCACGATATCTAGGATCAGAGCGACATGCGGAAGGTTCTGGCCAGAACCACAGAAGTCTTGTCCCAGGTTACCGCCGAGTCCTCCTGGGAAGATGCGCAGCGAGCCCTGCACAACCGTGGAGAGAACGGTTGCAAGCTGCCCTGCCCCCATGCAGCTTGGAGAACTTTGGGAGTCTTGCTCGTCTCGCCTGACCTGCTTGGCCCTAAACCCTAAAGCCCTAAAACCCCTACCGCCAAACCTTCAATCCAAGGATTCTGACGCAGAGACCGAGGAGCTCGACGAGGCGCGGCAAGCAATCCCCCTTGCCCCTTGCTTCGCCCGCTCCGCACATCAGCTCAGGAAAAGTGCCACAACTCTGTGCCTCATGAGGATTGTGCCTCGGCAAGAAGAGTCCATCAAGGGCGAAGCTGAAGTGATGCGTAAAAAGCTGAGGCTACTATGCGACAAAGTGGCTGCTGGATGAAGGCAGATACAAGTATCCAGATGCCTTCCCAGAGGCGCGGTTGCCAAGAATCGCGGTGCTTCTGAACCCCCCAACCGGCCAGATTCTTCGACAACTCGACGCTTCAGGTCAAGGCCCACTCGACCTGGGCAGATGCCCAAAGGGCGCTGTGGAAGCGTTCGAAGGACGGCTGCCAGAAGCCTTGCCGGACGGCTTAGGCAATGGGCGGCTTCCTGAAAGATGGGTGTTTGGGGCGCTTGAGGCCTTCAGAGTTCTGGGCACTTTTAAACTTCCCCTCAACCTTAGGACTATCTAGGAGGCTAGGATTGAGAATTGTCCAGAGCTCTGGGCGGAGTGCTCCCCAATCCCTGACAACGAGAACAACCCCTGGCCTTCGAAGTGCTTCGAGGTCCCTAGGAGTTCTAGGGCTTCAACAAAGATGCTCGCGGGAGCGCGCGCCGGAGCCTGCGGTATTTAGTAATTTCATGCACTTTCACCCCCCCCCCAGGCGCAAGGCGTCCCTGGCGGGGTTTAGGGCGCGGAGGCCAAACTTCGGCTCCCAATCACGATGAGACCTCGAAGCATCGCACTGGAGACTCATCGCAATAACAGTCTGACGGAGCTAGAAGTGTTCGGATGGGGATGTTCCAACGTTCACACGCAGTTGCTACTTTTTTGCTTAAGAGCCACCCAAAGAACGGACATGTTCTTCCTTACATGGGCAGTTTAGGGATTATTTCTCCGCATTTTTGTTGGCAGGTTCTTTTCTCTTCTGTCGCTAGTGCTTAGTGCTTCCTCTTGCGAACATCATAAATGCGCACATCGGCAGCAAGCTCGTAACGTAGGACGTAGGCGCTTGCCCTTGCCAGACTGGTGGCGGGTTCTCGGAGGTGGTCAGGGCTGCGGCTTCCGGCCTTCTTAGGATCAACATACGGATGTCCCAAGGGAGTATAGTACCCCTTCAATAATCCTTGCTAAAGACTGTTAGTATAAAAGGGAACATCCCAAGATCAGCCGAAATGCCCCCCAAAGAGCGCTATAGAAGACTGTCTGTACGCTGCGTCATTGTCTGCGCCGAGGCTCGGCTCTTAAGCGGCCAGATTAGAGACTCCCAAGACCCACTGTTGAGGGCTCTTGGGGAGCTTTTGGGGTTTTTCACGGTTGAACGGGCAAATTCTCAAGCCCAAGAGCCTCAGCCTACAGAATGGTGGAACTATGACTCCGAGCCGTAGACCCTAAACCCATGAGACCCACTCAGACAGAAACACCACCCGACACCCTACACTCCCCGAAACATGCGACCCTGAAGCCTGACCACCCCCTTTGGCTTAGCAAAAGACTGTTCACAGCAATGGCTGACTTCGAGGGCGTTGCGCCGGAGTCTGAAACTGGAGAGTCGGGAGCAGTCTCGAGACCACCGAGAAAGCCTGTGAAGGGACGACGAACAGACAGGTGGCGACAGGGCGGGTGCAGGGTTTGGGGTTTGGGGGTGTTCTTTCACTGCTTTTGCGATGGCGAGTGCTACTACTCGTACTTAATCAGTCTGACTTGTCTTTTGAGCTTGAAGCTCGAGCTTCCGCATTTGTGAACACGCGAAACGATAGCAGGCCTGCAAAGACAACTCAGCTCATGGTCCCAGTCAACGTGGCCATCGCGGAAGCAGGGCCGCTTGGAGATAAAACTCTTGTGGAGATTCGGGGGGGGGAGCTTAAAGCGGTTTTTTTTTAGAGGCCTTATGCAGGGCCGAGGTCTTCCTTCCTGTGCAACTGAGAATGCTCCACTGTAGGAATAGAGCCTGCTGTGACCACGACACCCCCCTGACCCCCAGTTTTGTGGGAAAACTCGCAAAATCGCAAACGACCGGCCTGCAACACGCAATGTTTATTTCAGGCACGGGGATCGGGAGAACACTAGGCAGCCGTCACAAGAATGCTAGAAGCGCCACGAACATGACAGTATATCAACACTCAAGATACCTTACAATTCCCTAAGGGCCCATGTACCTAAATGGTGTATACTCCGTAGAAAGCTTTAGGGCCCAAGTATGTGCTACGTAGGTACATGGACCTGAAACCCTAAACCCTAAACCCTAAACCCTAAACCCTAAACCCTAAACCCTTAGGGATTACGGCCCTGCGCAGGTCACCCCGTTCAGAGCCCGATGAGGAGAAGTCTCCAAACCCTCCGGTTGGAGTGGAGGTGAAGCAGGCACCGCGAGGTTCAGGGTTTAGGGTTTAGGGGGTTTAGGGGGTTCAAGGGGTTTGGGGGGTTTAGGGGTTCAGGTTTTAATGTGTTGGGGCCTATTGCGGCTGGCAGTTTCAACATTGACTGGCTTCCGTTACGCGTCTGGTTTTGGGGCGGATAGGGTGTGGGGCAGTGTGGGGCTAAGACGGTTAAGACTCCACAGCAAGGCTTTCATGTGGATTGGAAAATAGAGGGTATGGAATAGAGTCCCAAACAATTGGAATCTCATGTGTTTCCAGGAGGGGGAGGGAAATAGAAAAAAGGAGGCACCTTTGCTTGGACCCTCGACTTTGCATTCAAAACCTTAAAGTTTAAGTCTTTGCACAGTTGCTGCAGAAGCCTGCTTTGTTACAGTCGTGAGAGTAGACACGCATTTACTGCCGTAGCGGCCACTAAGAATTCCAGGCTTCTGGGCAAAGGCAGCAGAGATTGCCTTCATGGAGCACATGCATGATTTTTGTCGCTACAGGCCCTCCACCCTCAAAACCCAAACTTTCTCAAGCCACGTCCTGCACATGGGGTAAGCACTTGACTATGACTGAGCCAAACCCCTTTCACGCTTTCAACCCAGTCCCAGTCCGTCTCACAAGGTATACGAGTCAAATCTGCCGAGCGAGAGGGATTCCGGTGCTGCTCAAGCCTCAGACTTGTTGAGGATTGAGGGGTTTGGGTCACGTCGGGTTTATGGTTGGAGGGTTGAGAGCTTTGGCCTTAAATCTCAGGATCTTACCGTTTGAGGTCTTGTGGTTCAGGATTCGGGCTATACCCGGCAGTGGTCGATTCGGGCAAGCACAGGTTTCAGAACGTCACCAAACCACGCTGCCCCACTACATTGCGCCGGATATGCGGCACTGAAGTTTACTTCTATTTGATGAGATCCCATGTCCTTTGCCGAGACGTCATTGTGCTTTCGTGTCTAGAGTTCGGGGCTTGTCGTGCTTTCGGGCGTAGGGAAGTTTAGGGTATGCGGGACTAGTGTTCAGGGTGTAGTGAGTCGAGGGTTGAGGATTGCATGTGAGCAATGAATTTGCAGTTGACAGAAGGGCTCATTGGCTCTTACTAGTTGATGCATTGAATCTACAATTTTAGCAACTGTCCCGATGATTTCTGAAAGGGTGCCCCCCCCCCCCCCCCCCCCCGCCTGACTTCAATTTTCTCGGCATCTTCTGAAATCCCAAGATCCCGAGGCTCATTCTTGCCATGGGATCTGAGGCACAAAACTGTGGCCAAAACTCCAAAGAAGCGCCCCTCAGACCTTTTGTTGCTTGAAAAAAATGCTTTAGCCGACCAGTGTGAACACTTTGATTCAAGGTTTACCGGCCGGTAAGAAAAACATTGGAAGCCCGAAGGGGCACCCGAGGTGTAATTGTCAAGTGCAAATGGATTTATTCGCTGGGGTTGCTCGACAGAACCTGTTAGGTTTCGTAGATAGACTTCAGTGTGCAGGTTCAAAAGGTTTTGATCGTTGAACAAGCGTTTCGAATAAGTAGAAACTCACAACGCGATGCCGGCGCACAAGCAGCTATAACAAGGCTAAGCCGCAAACCAGGAGATGGCTGTGGCGAGAAAAGAACCTCGCCGAGCAAAGCAGCCTAAGATCCAACGCCCAGGCAGATGGCTCAGACTTGTTCCGAGCAATGTACTCAGATGATCCCCGGCTTGTAGCCAGGCCTGGCACCCAACGAGATGTCATGTGAAAGAGCTGCTTGAAGAAAGGGTTTATCGGGCTGCTTTGAGGTGTTGCCAGCTGCCTCCTCAGTCCGCGCATGTCCGTGCGTAAAGAGGGTTTGTTGTTTAGGGGTCCGTGCTCAAAAAAGGGGTAAAGTTCACTGGAGCAACGAGTACTTATACCATGTTATAGGTATAGTAGGCCCTAGGCGGTTTGAACGAAGATGCTTAGTTTGCTGGAGTGTCTGCTACCATAGTTTGCCGATTACCAGCTTCTTGATTCTACTTGCACTTTGGGACCAGATAAGGTTGGCCGTCACATTTGGCAACCAGCCCCGTTTTTCGAGCTTTTCGCCGAAGCCCACAACAGAAAACCTCAAACCGCAGAGGGCAACAGGGGCCCATGTGGAGGGTCGCAGAGGCTTGGGGTCTTTGGAGTGCGGGCTTGGTTTACTTCCTTGCTCAAAGCACTGTCCACCAGCTACCCAAATCCTGGAGCAATTAAGTCGTCGTCGCACAAAACGGTCTGCAGGTGTAGGGATTACGGCGACCTGCATTGAAACAAGGCAGTACAACATCACAACGTGATTTTTTCGGATCAATGGTAAGAAAAAGATGGCGAACTCACAGCCCAAAAGGCCGTTAAGCTCTAGCTCCGGGGGGCGCAAATCTGCGCAGGGCTTGGATGGACACGGCCAGGGCGGTCGTCGAGGCTCCTGCAGTTGTGCCTGCCGGTCGTTCGGGTTATTTGGTTTTTGGGGTAGGGGTGAAGGTTTCTGGTTTCAGGCTTGCTTAGGGGAAGGAGTCTGGAACGGCACAGCACTTGGAGTGCCGCACTCGGGCTGGGGGTGATTGTGGTTCGAGCGCAGCTGGGTCTGGAAGGCGGGCTGCAGACTTTCACTAGCGGGCATGGGTGAAGTGAAACTGTTGACTGAATCGCGAGTGTGCCCAACTCTGGACACCCCAAGCTTGTACACAAAAGCAGACCCGTTGCCACCCCAAGCTCATCTCGGGAGTGGGAGTTTTCTTACGAACCCAAGTTGCCAGGTCTTGTTGCCGCACATCTCCGAGCATTTCTCCAGCTCCAGGCGGCTTTGGGCTTTGAGGTTTTGACCGTCAAAACACACTAGATTTCGAGAAGCTATAGAAGCTCCGCAAGCTCCGCTCAAGCCCCCAACAAGTTGCGAAACCCCCAAAGGCCCAAAGGGTTTCAGGGGATGTGATGCGCGCTATAGGGTTGCACATGAAGTCGAAGATTTCACCCTTACCCTGCCGTGTGGTGTAGGGCTTCCAGGCAAGTGGCAAAAACAATCTCACCCAACAGCGCCATGAAACCCTCCCCTGACCCAAAACCAACTGCCAAAACTCCCAAACCTTGAACTCCCCTTCTGTTCGGGCGAAACCCTAAACCCTAAACCCTAAACCTGAAGGCTGGAGGATCGGTTGACGGCTGCTGGGCCAGGGGCTCTTCAAAGCAGGGCCAGAGAGGCGCGCTTGAGCTTCAGAGGGCTTCAGGGTGTAGGGGCCCTTGGGGGTTTCTTAGGGTTTCTTTGGGGGAGCCTTCCGGGCTCTCTAGAGTTTCTTGCCGAGGGCTTTGGGGTTCAGGATCCGAGTAGAGATTCCATGGTGGGTAACTCGTGTGCTTGGTAGCTATTGCAACGTTTCTTTGCGGAGGCATCCAGTCTCCAGACGTCACTCGTATATTCACATGGGATGTGCCCAGCATGTATTCTTTTATTTTGGTTGCTCTTTCCTTGCATGCAGTACCCCCCCCCACACAAGCCTAAAGCGTAATTCCTCGGTTTGCGCGCTGAAGTTCTGCAAAACAATCATGCCATCAGCCCCTAACTTGAAGCCTCAGCCCTATGTCTGGCTGCAGGCAGGGTCGCCAAGCATGACCTTTGCAATCGCCATGCTCATCGTTGCTGATTCGGATGAGACCGTCAGGCGCGAGAAGCAGAGAATAGGTTTTCCACCCTCCCGATGATAAAAAGACAGGTGGCCTAGGCATGTGTTGAGGGTCTCCTGACCTTGCTTCCTGCAATGTGCCCCTTGCCAAAATGCCTTCCATTGTTTATAAGAAAAGACAGCCTCACATCCTGAAAAGAATGACTCTCTGAATTCTGAATGTGATTCTCTTGCCTTTTTCTAAGTGGCTTCTTTGACCCGACCCTGGGCCTGATGTAGGGTCATTCCCCAGCTAGCTCACTACGTAGCAGGTGTTCTCATTAGCTCATGCTGTAGGGTGCTCTTCGAACCGTAAGCCACACTGAACGAGCCCCAAAAATCCAAAAATCCATTGTTTGGCCGCAAGGGCAGAGCTCGACGCGCAGGAGAAGTGCTTCCTTCTTCAAGTTATGGAAGGAACCTTGAGCTGGCTGACGTCCCGGGTAACTAAAGGCATTGTGGAGTAAGCCAGGTTAGTAGAGTAAGCAAGTTTTAACGGCTACGCCATCCCTTCTTTCGGGTTTTTCTCACAGGTGTGTTAGAAATTCTAGCGGCAGTGGAGGCTGCCGTGCGGGTTTCGGGACAGGTCGACGTCACTTTTGAGCGGCGTTTTGAAGGCGCTTGGAGCTTTTGGAGGCTCTGGGGGCTGCTTTCATTTTTGACTTGAGATGGAACATAATCTGAATTCCAAGAGGTACAGAGCTTAGGGGGCTTTTGAAATTCTGGGGGTGTTCTCAACCCATCTGAACCCCGCATGAACCATGTGCTGCTGGCCGAAATTTCTGCGCACAGCTAAGAGAGCTTTCCGAGATGGGAAGTTTCAGTTCTTGATGTCTTGCAACCCTAAACCCTAAACCCTAAACCCTAAACCCTAAACCCTAAACCCTAAACAGCTCTGAAAAGCCTCTTTGGAAGCAAGGAATTGGGGACCTGCTGCCAGAGATCGACATTGGCTTCTTCGTCGGTGTGCACTGCTGCATGTTTCTAACTCCGAGCGCAGTCTGCGGTCCTCCTGGCACGCTGAGAAGGACCGCGGTTTAGGGTTTAGGGTTTAGGGTTTAGGGTTTAGGGTTTAGGGTTTAGGGTTTAGGGTTTAGGCCTTGGGGGATTGCAGGGCTTTATGGTTCAGGTGGTTTGTGGCTATCGACGTTTTTGATGCTGTGAGAAAGAATGCAATTCTGCAGGGTCTGGCTATGTACTGAGGGTGAGAGCACAGTCTTGATTGTGATTAACGAGCCGAGTTGTTCTCATCCTTGCACTGGCCTTTACAAGCCGCGTTTCGTCCGCACATGCTTTGCTTCGGTCATAGTCTGGGGGTTTAGAAGGAAATGGGGGGGTGCGGTATTACCTCACAATTTTAAGAATGTTTATGCGTGCGGGTTCACAGAATGCTTTGCCATAACCTCCAAATGAAACAAACTGCATCTTTCAGCTTTACAGTTTCAAGGAAGCCCCGCGTCGCGTTCGCGAAATTTGCGCTGCTGCTGCTGCTGCTGCTGCTGCTGCTGCTGCTGCTGCTGCTGCTGCTGCTGCTGCTGCTGCTGCTGCTGCTGCCCATGAGGACGAAGCGGTCCATGCTACAGTAGCAGGAGAATTTGATCACTGCCGCGGTAGAAAATGCCGCAGCCCACCCAAGCACAGCACATGCGATTTCAGCAACCACTTGCCAAAACTTTCATTCAGTAAAAACGAGTGCAGGATCTGCAGCAAGGTGCACTACTTGCACACCAAGGCCCGGCAAGGGGGTAGGGGTCTAGAGTGCCAGAGAGTAGTCCTCGGGCAAAATGGCTGTCTCTGGCATTCAGGGTGTAGTTCTTCTACGTCGTGTCATTCGTGTGCGCTAGTGATCTACTAGCTAATTCAGAGCTGCAGAACATTTAGAGTTTTGTTGTCTCTGAGGGCCCTTTTTCCCAAAGGTTGAGGCGTAGCTGAGCAGTTCGAGGTTTCGGCTGCTGTGGACAGTACAATGGGTGGCGGGCGAAGGTCTAGAGTCTAGAGGTAGGGGTTAGAAGATGTAGGACCATGGCAAGTTCAGCACTGCTTTGAGTCTCAGCAGTTTCGATCCTGGCTTTTCGACGAGTTTGGGACACAGACCCTTCGAAGAGCCTCCCAGCCAAGGCCTTCAAGATGATGGAGTGGGACGTGGAAGAAGCCGCAGAGTTGCTGGTCCCAGCTTTACTGGCAGCTTCGGGGTTCAGGGGCTTCGCGTTTTGAAAACACAAAGCCTTAGCCACTCGACCCTAAGCTATATTTTAGTCTTAGTTAGAGTTCAATGGTTGTTGAGCTGTTGTGTTAATGGTGTAGTCAGAAGTTCAAGAAGGTCCCAGAATGCTTGGAGGACTTACGAGTCGACAGCATCGTCACCCTTAAGAGGGTAGAAGGCAGGACATACAAGAGAGCGCTCGAGTATGACCTACTTGGTTTGGTTTAGGTGTCTGATGGTGTTTTTCAAGGTTTCGGCTTCTGGGTTGCAGTAGCGTTCCCAGGGACCTCTCAGGTCGTCGAAGAGCCTGGCTCTTCGAGATCATTTGTTGTGTCCGACTCTTTAGCGTCGGAAAGCCTCCCACAAGGTACTATAGGGAGAAGCTCTCCCAGGATGAAGGGATCTGGGGGCACAAAGGCGCCAGGCCCAAAGCTTGCGACCGCACATCAGCCTTGTCCAATCACACGCGTCAAGGCAAGGCATTGCCAGAGCCATCCTCAATGCAATGGCTGCATTGAGGGGTCTTCGAGAAATTCCTCAGAAGTTTTCTGCAAGTGTTTGTTGGACGGGCCAGGATGTGAATGGTTCCCCTCGCAACCACTGAAACCTTGCTTGAACTTGCTGCTTTGATCACTTTGAGAACACGAGCCGCAGTGGACAAAATCACCACCCTGAACCGCCAACATCAGCCAAGGCTGCGGGAGGTGAGCATCGCACTGCAGCAGGCAGGGTAGGCTTGATGCAAAACCCAAACCCTATGCCTAAAGTGTGGCACTCACCCTGCACCTTAGCATGCTCGACGCTGAAGTTCTTTTTTGGCTTGATACGGAAAAACATTTTGAATACCTGCAAAAATCGCGCAGGCAGGCATTGCCACGCTGAGTTATCTCCTACGGTTGTAGGGATGCCCAGAAGGAATAGGGTTCAGTGCAGTTTAGGGCTACTAGTCTCCATACCGGTTCGTCGACCTACGCCCCTTTTGCCTCTGCAAGCCACGAGCAAGAATATGTGAGACGCGGTCAAAATCACCGCTTCCTTATTTGAATAGAGGGGGTAGTTGTTGCAGCAAAACGCCGAGGATCGATAGGGGGCGTGCTAAAATGATAGGATTATTTGATACGATAGGATAACACTGCGGCAGGTAAACATGGAAAACGATAGGGGACGGGCAAATGCAAAACCAAGCAAGGCTTAAACAAGTAATCTTGACGCCGACTCATGTCATTCCCAGCTTGGTGGCAAGGCAAGTGACAGAAGACTGGCAAGCTCATTTGTCCGGACGCGTCTGGCGCATGCCAATTTTGGAAAAGGTTGCAAACCTAGGTCGCAATGGAATTCCTACACACTGGGAATCCTGTATTCCTGCCAAACAGCGCGGGGGCAAGCAATGCGGAACTCCCCAAATCCCAAATCCTAAACCCTGCGCCACGAACATTGCCATCAGGCTGCCGTGTCCATGGTCGAGTCTCTCGAGCTACTTGTGCAGGAGCAGCACCTTCAAAGCCCAGTTGTTTCTGCTGGCGTGGTTGCTGTCGTCGCAGTTCATAACTATACAAACTGCACTGGGAATCGTGCTTGAAGGGTTCGGGAATCCTGGCAGTTCTGAGTAGGCGCGTTCATGAAGTCCACGCAAGTGGCCCCGGACAGCCACGCATTCCCAATTCATGCATAGCTTGGAGTTCGGAACGGCGTCAACTCAGCCATTCCTCCTATCTGTAGAAAGGGACGTGAAAACAATGTACCTTGGTGATGTTCAGGAACCCATGATGGCTAGTGCTGAGGGGAGTCTCAAAGATTGCCTGACTGAGTGAAACATCTTGCTAGTCCGAGAATCCTTGTATTGATAAGGTGGTATTCCCGCACCCTGGGTCCCTACAGAACATCGAAAAACTTAAAAGCCTGACAGGAAGCCCTGTGGTACGTCGATGAAGAGTGTGACATTCTGAAAGACTTCCTGCAGCTGTGCTGCAGATGTATGCAAAAGGAGATTCAGGAACATTCATACATTTGCGAGTTCCTACGAACTACAAGGAACGAGCATTCAGAAAGTGACAACATATGTTTAGGGGGCAGGGTGGGTTAACCTTTGGCGAGGGAATTGATGCCCTAATTCCCACCAAACCGCATGTTGCAAAACACGCTTCAGAGCGTACAGGAAATTCGCCCAGCGTTCTTTTTTACATGCTGGGTTGGACACGGCTTTGCGGGGTTCAGTGCGGCATATGTCCTCCAGTGCTCCAGCGACGTTGATGGGGATTGTAGCTCAGAGCTTTGGAAACCTCACGCCCAAGTTGCCTTCTCGAGCGCTGCTAGGACTGTGACATCCTTCCTAGTTTACGCCGGCACGAGTTTTCCTGTGGTGTCTGTCCTCGCTCGCATGATCCGAAGCTTACCCCAACCATTCCGATCTAGAACGGTGGTTCAACTTTTCAGCCTGTACGTGCCTTGGGTACTTCAATAGCTTGGATGCATGACTTCGTGTTAAGTTTTAATGTCTGGGCATTCCGTGACTTAGAAACTCAGGGACCTTGCCTGCCACTTCAGACGGTGCCATCGAAAGAAAAGCCAAAATTGCACACATGTGCATGCAAGTAACGACACAGTTTGCCTCTTTGGAGGCATGGCAAAATGCTCGACTTGTTGCCTGTGATTTGCTAGTATCTGTGTCAGGCATGGCAAGAAACTCCATTTGTTACCCATGATTGGCCCTCTGCAAGGCAATGCAAGATACCCGATTTGTTGCCTGCCTGAGAACCTCAGAACCTCAGAAGTTCAAGAATGCTGGCTGCCAGCGTTCCAAAGAAACCAGGCCTCAGAACTCTGAAGCCTGAACCCTAACTCACAGACAAGCCCCAATCCTGCAAGCTTTTGCATCAACAATCCTTACGCTGCAAAGCGTCTTTGACGATCGCCAGGTTGGCAGACGCCAGAACCTTCATTGCACGCCCACGCCTGCAGCACGTCCTCAGGGCGCCATGGCACGATGGGCCTTGGGGCGGGGTGTGGGGTTTAAAGGGCAAAGGGTTTCCTGAACATCCCGGAACCCTGTAATTAAACCCACTGAATTCGTGGCGCGCTTCTTGGATGTGTTTTCAAAAGCACTAAAAACCATCAAAGCCGCAGTTGTGCACGAAGCATGCCCATGCCAGTTTCTACAACGCGCTTTGTGTTCCAATATGGAATCTGCAGCTGTGCCTCAAGCTGCCGAATCGTTGATTTCAAAAACCGCGACAAAAAGTGTACTACTACACTATAGCGAAACATGAAGAAACCCTCAACCCTGAAACCAACAACCGCCACACTCCGAGCCAGGTTCGGGCTTTTGGTAGGGGTTTGCAACTTAGTATGTCGTGCTTCTATGGCTGTCAGGAAAATTGGTACCAGTATGCGTGTCTAGGTTTTGTTTTGCTGTGATGCAGGAAGTCCTAAGCAAGATGGTGCATTTTCAGTGCAGATCGGTTTCGTCGTGTACGCTTTATTGGTTCTTGAAGTGCGGTACATCGGCCCCTGGCTTGATTGTGGGGATGATGCACCCTTCATAGCGCATCGCAGCTACGCCGCGCCATGAAGTGGGGGCAGTTGGGAAACTTAAGTTTATACTCGGTTGAGCTTTCAGTTCTCTGCTAATCTTTTATATGCACACTTTCTCGCCGGCAGTGCGTCCTAGGCGTTAGCTCCCCCATTCATTTCTCTCGCGTCTCAGCGCCTTCAGAGACTAAGTCTTGGCTTAGATGTTAGGGTTTAGGGTTGAACGTGTATTCTACCTTGGCCTTCACTTTGAGACATCAGCTGCTTTCCTCACGAAACTAGCGACGACTGAAACCATCACCCGCTGACCTGCTGCGTGAGGACATGTGGCATCCGGACTACGAGCGCGAAGACATTTGGGACAAAGTCTTGAATCAGATGTGGTTCCTGGCAGTAAAGAATGGCTAGTGGTGCACCATACCGAAGCGCTTGCATTCGTCTACTCCATCGCTTGCTTGTAGCATAATAACCCTGGCAGATCTTGACAGAGGATTGCATGTCTTTGCTGCCTGATCCTACTATTTGGGGTCCATCTTAGGGATCCCTTTTCTTCGTAAGCCCCCATTTGAAGGGAGGCAAAGAAAGGGAAGCAAGCGTGGCGTGGGCATAAGGCCACCATAGAACCCGGTAGGCCTACCCCAACGAGTCGCGAATCCTTGGAAGGAAGAACCCTAACAATCGACCCAACAGTCCATTGTTCAGTCCGAAATCTTAGGATTTGGGGCTGGATCTCACGGCCAAGGCATCCATTCTGAAAACTCAGTGAACACCTGAAAGGAAAGCAAAGGAAGCACGAGCCACCCAGCTTTCTTCCCTAAACTAAACGCCAAGATCCTCGAACGCAACTACAAGCATCCCTTAGCCAAGGCTCTTCGTCTCCACCTTCTGCGGCTTAATGGTGGTCATGATCCCCACTCTGCTCTATCCGGACTTGGAGCGTCCCTTGACATTGAAGGGGGGTTTCGTGGGTTCCGGGTTTTGGGTTGAGGCTTCATGCAGGGTCTTTCCGCGGGGCTTTTGGTGTACGTGTAGGGCACCCATATAGGTTTCAAATCAGTCAGGGATGCACGCAAGAGCCATGCGTCCAATCAGAGAAAGCCTACCTTTCTTCAATTTCGATGCCTATAGGAGTTGCTTCTTTGCCAGTAAGGGGAGTTCCGGTGTAGGGTATTGGTCAGGACTAAGCATTGAAGCATCCCCTGCACAGGGCGCAAGAGTCCCCCAAGGCAGTAATAATTACACGCATCCTAAGAGTTTGCCCCAACCGTCTGAAAGGTTTGTGGTACCGATCTGTGCTGCAGAAAGATCTCGACATCAGACACATCGAGGACCTGAAAGGACAGGATGTCAAGGACTGGAGAGAACAAAGTTCTGGGGGTCGCTCGCAGGTCCCAGGTGCTCGCAAGTAGCGCCGCAAGCAATGTCGGCTCCGCTTGCGGTGGGAAGTTCCCACGTGATCTTTACAATCACCAAAGCTGAGCTCGGAAGTAAGGAATCCTGAGCCCAAACCTGCCAGGTCAGGGCACGGTGTGTTAATTAATCTAAAGGTCCTTGGGTTGGGGTAAACAGCCTAGGGCATTCTATACTCCAGGGGTCGGAATAATTTCTAGTCATAGTATTCCCTTTTTGGTCCCTTTGTAATTACACTATAAGAGCCTAAGAGCCTATTTTAATCTTTAAGGCCCCGATTACTCTTCTTGTTCCTGCTCTCGCGGCGGCAAAGGGGCCAGACTCTGGCCCACGGTGCTGCCAATGGCACCCAACAAACGGCCGGCATCTGAGGTGGCTGGCACCGTGGAGCGTCCTGCAGCAACAAGCGACGCCAAGAAGCAAGCCGGAAGCGAGGTGGATGCCGGAAGAGCGTGCCCCCACTCTGTGGCCAACTTCTGGGAAGCCGTCGTGAAGAGTCTGGAGATCCATCTCGCAGTCGACTTCGACCGGCAGGTCTTTTCTGGAGAGTGCAAGCTTGTTGTAGAGAAGTTGCAAAGCGGGGTGCGCAAGGTCCTGCTGGATGTTTTGGACTTGACGATACACAGCATCACCGATGCACATGGCAACTTGGTTCAGTGGGAGGTGCAGACACCCGAAGGTTCCAGAGCCAAGTTTGGCAAAGCCTTGGTGGTAAGCCTGCCGCAGGAGGACACATCATGCCAGCTCTGTGTGCGTTATGAGACAACTGAGAAGAGCACTGCCATTCAATGGCTCACCAGAGAGCAGACAGCTGGCAAGAGATACCCTCTCTGTTTCACCCAGAGCTGCGCGATTTGTGGGAGATCCTTCCTTCCTTGTCAAGACACCCCATCCGTGAAGGCTACCTTCTCTATTCACGTCACCGTCCCGGTGCCGCTCGTGGCTGTGGCTTCAGGTGAGCCGCTGGGTGAGCCCAAAGAAGCGCAGGGCCTGCGCACCTTTGCCTACGCCCAAAAGGTGCCGGTGATGTCCTACTTGATTGCGGTGGTCGTCGCCAACTTCGAGTCGCGCGTGATCGGCCGGAAGAGTCGCTGCTACGCTGAGCCGGCCGTGGTGGAGGCAGCTCAGCAGGAGTTCACTGACATCGTGGACGTGTTCTTAGACACAGCACAAGAGGTCGTTGGTGGTGCTGACTACGAGTGGGGTAGCTACAACGTAGCAATCCTACCCTCTTCTTTTGCTTACGGCGGCATGGAGAACCCGAACTGCACTTTCATGAGCGCTTCGCTACTTCCAGGTGACCGAAGTCTCACCCCCACCCTGGCGCACGAGATTGTACACTCGTGGATTGGCAATCTGGTGACGAACGCCTACTGGAAAGATTTCTGGCTGAACGAGGGCTTTACCCGCTACATTGAGAGGCGCATACTCGGCAAGATTCATGGAGCTGCATATCGCGGCCTGCTTCTGATGGTTGGGTACAACGACCTGGTGAAGACTGTCGACATGCTCAACAAGCAAGGAAGCTCTGGGCTCACGCGCCTAGAGCCTGATATTGGCGATATAGACCCAGACGATGCATTCTCCCGGATTCCTTACGAGAAAGGCTCCCTCTTTCTCTTCTACTTGGAGCAGCTTGTCGGTGGGGAGGAGTCCATGACCAAGTACCTTAGATCTTACATCGAAACGTTCAGAGGCCGCAGTATCCAAACAAGTGAGATGAAGGCTCACTTCCTGGAGTTTTTCAAAGAGGTGCAGAAAATAGAGGAAGTTGACTGGGAGTACTGGCTGCATGGTGAAGGCCTGCCAAGCTTCGATCTTACTGCCCACGTTGACAGGACCTTGCTGGAGCAGAGTCGCTCGGTGGCTGACAGTTGGCTGGCAGAGACGCCGCAAGGTTTGGAGATGATGTCCATGAGAGCTCAGCAAGTGATGCTTGTGCTGGACCACCTGATCAATGCTTTGGCGGATGGGAAGAGGCTTTCACATCAAAAGCTCGCTGCCATGGATGGACAGTCTTACTTCTCCAAGACCCGGAACCTGGGTCTCATTCTTGAAAATCATGTTACATTTTTTACGAACACTTAAACCCGATAAGGAACACAAACATGACCCTTTTTTAAATCGTACCCAACAATCTGTGCAAGGAACGTGGAGATTGCTTTCAGGTGGTGCTTGCTCGGCTGCCGCAGCGAGTGGCCCGGGTGCTTGGAGGCCACGGAGCACTTCCTTGGCAGCCATGGCCGGGGCGTCTACGTGAAGCCGCTGTATGTGGCCCTGAAGGCTTTTGATGGTGCCAGGGCGAAGGCCGTGTTCCGCAGAAACCGCAAGTTCTACATGTCTCTTATCTCCAAGCAGGTCAGCTCCATTCTGACCGACTAGCTCATGAGCCTTGCTTATCTCGGCTAGAATCAAAAAGGAAGCAGCCTTGGGACGACAGACAAAAAGACAGTTTCTTTGGGTTTGGGTCTAGGGAACTTATCTCGGACCTGCGCCAGAACTGCCACGACTGCCATGCACAGGACGTCGATGCCAAGAAGGTGTCGCTGTTCACCGGACAAGTATCGAAGCAGGCGCTCTTAGGGGGGGTGGGGGGGGGGTCACTGCCATTCAGGTGGACGGTCAGCCTGAAAGTTTAGCTCTGAGGCCACCCAGAAGATGTCCGCAAAGCAGAAGAAGCATCTGGAGGATGAAAGGCGGATGTCCCAGAGAAAGGCGGGGGAGTTTCAAACTCGGTTTATGCAGGCCGCTTGGGGGGCAGGTTGCTCAACAGAACCGTGTCCTATGTTAGTACACGACTACGTAACTTTACGGGTTCCCTTGATAGTCATCTTGTCCTGGACTATTTTAGCTGTGATTTTGGCTTGGAACAACCTTGAGACCTTCTGCCTTGTCCTTCTTTCCTTCTTGGCGCTTCTTGAGCTGCGTAAACCTTTGTACCCCGAGGGTTTCGGGCTTGGGGGTTGCAGGGTTTTAGCTCAACAGGCTCAGGGATGCTTCGGGCAGGGATGCTTGCGGGGCTTTGTAGGCTTTAAGGTTTAGGGGATGTTGATAGGGCTTCCGGTTCACAGGCTGAGCCGCAAAGTATCCAAAGTATTCAGAAAGACCTCCGACACACAGGGGGTGGTTCTCTCTTGGCTTTTGCTTGTTTTGGGAGGGAGGGGGGGAGGGGGGCTCCTTTGCTATCTCGAAGACTGGTAGCCCAGTGGTACCCTTTTGCTCTCTTCTCCCTTATCGTATGACATTTCCACTGCTGCAAGTACGCCGGGTCGGATGCTCAATCCTGTTTTTCTACGTTTGTTAACAACGATTTTTTCCTGCACATTGTCTGACGGCCTACCCCACAGTGTAGCCCTACAACTCCTGAAAGCTGTCCAGGCCCTGACCAGACTTTGGCTGGATTTCGGTCGAGCCATTCTGCTGCCGCGGCAGAAGCAGCTCAGTTCAGCTTTGAGGGCGCGTGGGAGGGGAGGAGGGTGTTCGGTGGGGGTTCGGGGGGGGGGAGTGAATTCATCCATGCCTAGGAAGTACCTGGCCATCGTGACGAACCTGGCCTTCTTAGTGGCCCTGGTGTACATGGAGCCGACAGACTTTTACATCAGCTGCTGGGAATGTCAGGATTTTTTCGGGGTTGCGCCTTTTTCCAGAGCGATACTCCAAGCGATAGCCCTGCGATACCCATTTGGCCACCCGCAGTACTGGGCTAAGGCCCTGGCCCAGGTTGAGAGCTTCAAGTTTAGGTTTTGGATTTCTGATTCGAGCTGCGAGAGCTCCAGCTCCTAGACAGGGAACACTCGCATTTGTTAGGCTCTATCTCTAGGCCCTGAAAGCGTAAACCGTAAACCCAACAGTGCTCTACTCCCGAAGGGCGGCCACCCCTTCGGCCGGAATGCAACCTCGTAAAAACAAGAACGGGAAGAGGGATACACAATGAGACGTAACACCTTTCAACAGACTACGAATGCATTCCCTGCTGAAACGAGCAAGCTAGATTGTCAATGTGCGTCTCCCTAGATAATACCAACCTCAGGAGGGGTATGCAACTCTTGTAGTTGTACACTCTTCTGCGCCCTTAATTGTCCCGTTGGGCACTTAAGAAGCCCCCCTCGAGGTCCCTGTGTAAAGTCTCCATGACCTAAACCCTAACCCCTAAACCCTAAACCCTAAACCCTAAACCCTAAACCCTAAACCCTAAACCCTAAACCCTTTTCCGGAAAAAGAGGGCGAGTGCCGAGTCAGCCCTGCCTTGAGAGCTCCTCAGGCTCCTCAGGCTCCTCAGGCTTCGGCTCTCCGGATTCTTCAGATTCCTGAACCCTGAACCCTCAACCGGAGCTCTCCCAGGCTTGGTCTTCATTCTTGGCCCGGGGCTTGGTGTCAGCGTGCTAATCGACCCTTAAGAGGGGGGCTTAGGGTTCAGGATTTAGGGTTCAGGGTTTAAGGTTTAGGGTTCAGGATTTAGGGTTTATAAGGGGTCAGGGTTTTAGGTTTAGACATGGGGTTGAATGATCCCTTGGGTTGTTGGGAGGGTTTTATTTGGTAAGTGCTGTTGCTGCACCCTAGGGCTTCCATGGTAGAAAAGTGGGCGCCCAGGGGTACGAATTGCAATTGAGAACCAGACGCTACAGGCAGAAGCACAAGCCACACGAAGGGCTGAACCTAGCAATAAACGACAAATTCTGCTCTTTAGAATAGTTAAAGTGCCATGGTGGCAGCATGAGTGACAACGACTTGTCATGATGAGCCACAAGGCAGCGCACGATTGAGAGCACGGACTGCATGCCGCAAAAGAGAAGACAACACCATCTCAGCATCTTCCTGGTTTGAAGAGAGCTACAAAGCATCGGCTGAAACGATGACAATGACGTACCTCGAAGGATGCCACCAGATCTCCCGCAAGATGTGTCCTTCTGTTCCCAGTTCTGTGACGAATAGATGGGTGCATTCATGCCAGCCGTGATGTAGTAATCCCCAGCTGTGGCACTGGCAGCCTTGCGCAGGTGCAGGTGCCCTTTACGCCGAACTGGCACAACTTTTCGGCAGATCCGACAGTGACAGGCACGCAGTCAGCGCAATGGCAATGGCTTCACTTCTACTCCTGTTGCCAGTACAAGTGTCCAAGTGTCATAGTGGCAGTAGCTGTTCGCTTCGTCGCAATAGCAGCAGCACGAGTTGCAATACATGTAGTGATGACGGTGGTAGTAACAGTAGTAGTGGTAAATTTGGCCGTAGAGACAACATGAAAGCATGATGAGTAGAATCAGTAGGAGCCACAGCCGCTGCAGCGGTGTTAGCAACTGAATGTGCTCTTCTGCTTCTGCCACTACTGACTTTACTGGCGGAAGCAGGAGAATTCTTTAGGGTTTAGGGGTTAGGGTTCGGTGAGTTTCACAGAAGCTGAGAAGCAGCACTGGCACGTGAGGACCGGCATCAAGACGATATCTATAGATAGAAGCCCATCAGCCTGCACTGTATACCATTTGCAGCCAGTCCAGGCTGAGAGGTTCTGTGAGTTGCAGATAGGGAGGCTTCCAGTTTTGGACGTTGGACCGTATGCTGGAACTGAGGTCTTGAGAGCCATGGTTTTTTCGTGCCGCACACTCTATGCCGTGTATGCCAGTCTGCCTCTACAGGTTCTCGAGGTTAGCAAAGCCGACAAAGCGGAATGTCCCACCCAAACGCCAAACAGTTTCAAACACCAGGAAAACCCAAGCCCAAAACTCCTGAAAGAAACTCGAAGCGAGCGGCAGAGACCCACAGTTCAACTGTCCCAACCCATGTACCAACCCGAAGTCCTGAAGCTAGATCCTTTGGGGTTCTGCATGTGAAAGTACGCGAAACTACACGAAACTACACGAAACCAAAATTCATACAACTGCAGATCATAGCAAGGGGTGCGTTGTCCACAGGTTGAGTCGGAAGCAGAGAGCTTTGAGAAGCTTCCGGCTGTGGTGGATGGACAAGGACCGGCCTGCATAGCCCAAAACCTTCAATCCGTACTCCTCGAGCCGCCAAAACCCCTGGCCCTGAAGCGCGACTTGCTCAGCCAGGCAAACCCGAAGACCCTGCAAAAACCCTTCAACAGCCCTTCAAAAGCCCCTCGAAAGCCCTTCAATAACCCTAAAACCTGTTTTTTTTGTTTTTTTTTTTTTTTTTTGGGGGGGGGGGGGGGGCACTTTTCTGCTGCTGCCGAAGGTTAACGTTGCGGAGCTCTGCGCCTTCGGGTCGCTCACCCGCCTTGCGAAGATGGGATAGGGTTTAGGGTTTAGCAAAAAAGGGTTTAGGGTTCGGAGAGCTTAGGGTTCTGGAATGTTTTGGGGTCTAGGGTTTGAGGGGTCTTGGGCTTGGGGTCTGGGGCTTTGGGATTTTGGGGGGTGTTAGGGTTTAAGGGAGCTTTAGCCGCAGGATGGCGGTTGAACTGGCTTGTCGGTTTTTCGGTGGACTACCCAGACCAGCTCTGAGAGAAACCTTGCACATCGCGGCCTTGGTCTCTTTAGAGGGCACTTAGAGGATGTGAACCTTGGCTAACCTCCGAGAATCTCGTGGTCTTGTGGGGATTCCAGAGATGCGGAACCTGCAGCTTCAGAGTTTCGCCGACTTTGGAAAAGAGGCCCTTCAACATGTTGCCGTCAACTTCTCTAACCCAAACGCCATAAACCCGAAGCCCTCACTACTAGAACCTTACCGTTGTCGAGCGGGAAGACCTTCGCCGAAGCCCTAAACTCAAGCTTCAAAGTGCGGAAAGCCCTTGCAAAACCATCGGGAGCCTGGACGCCCAACATTTTAGCATTCAAGGCTTAGGGTTTTGGCTTGCAGCGGAGCCTGACGGAACCCTGACCCCCCCAAACAAAGATGAATGCAAAAAGCGGAGCTACCCCAAAGGTGCCTTTGCTTCAGCTGCGTCATCCGCCGCTTTCCGTGAAACTCGGAGGTTTCCCATTGACAGGTCCCTGATTGCTTAGTTGTGATTCATCGAGGACTTCTAGTGCGTTGCTGTGTAGCTACTGAAGTTCTCGGTTCAAGAGCTGTGTCAACCATGAGACCCTAAACCCTAAACCCTAAACCATCATGTAGTTTTTTTCGCAGATTTGAAGAAGCCGTATGACACGTATGCAGACTTTCCCCTGCAGAGTGTCCGAGAGGCCAGCTAAGCAGGTGGCAAAAAAAGAACCTAAACCCTAAACTGTCCGAGCCCTTCTTCTTTCATCCGAAGCTGGAGCAAGGCTATATTGTCCTAGATTGGGTGCCGGCTTTTCGGGCCGCAGCTTGGCCATGACAGACAGGGCTTAGGGTTTAGGGTTTAGGGTTCAGGGTTCAGGGTTTAGGGTTTAGGGTTCAGGGTTTAGGGTTCAGGGTTTAGGGTTTAGGGTTTAGGGTTTAGGGTTTAGGGCGCTTTTGGGGGTATTTGGGGTTGGGGTCTTGAGTTTTGGACGCCAGCTGAGCTTCAGAGAAGGTGTCTGCCCTTGTGGGCTCAGATACTACAGTCCATGTCCAAGAATCCCAAGACCAACCACCCCAGCACTGAAATTGCAGAGTTTGGTGGGCTTGAGCAGTTGTCAGGGATAGAGATCTGGTGTTGTGTCCATCAAGGCCTGCAAGCAATCGTGGCGACTGTAAGATCAGTCGTTGAGAATGGAGATGGGGGAGGGGGTTGGTACATCAGGCTGGAAGCACCGGGCTTCCGCTGTGGATCCCAGATTCCAAATTTGCCGGGACCTAGGTAAGCAACAGTTGATCGGATATCTGCTGGGAACACAACTTTCAACCCCAAAACGTCAGGGGAGCAGGGCGCCGTTGAATAGGATTCACGTAGTGCTGTAGATTAAGCGGTAAGGTCGCATGGCATAGATAGCACTTGAACCAGCCAAGTTTTCTTGGTCAGGCTTTGTTGCTTGCCTGAGGCAGGGGTGTTCTTCATGGGCCTGTCGCAGACAGTCAAGCTCTTGCGGCTGCCTCCAGTCTGGTGATTTGTATTGGCTTTTCGCATTGTCGGTGTCCCTACTGAATCCTAAACCCGAATGTTCACCCCTTGTAGCCTAGTGCGCTGAAATCATGTCGATCCTGCTTCCATTGTAGTATCCAGGTCTTCTGTTTATGGCCCGCTGGTTTCAATGGTGGATCCTCGGCCGATATGGGTGCTTTGGGTCCTTGTTTTTCCATGTGTACTCATCCCAATGTGTTTTTGTTGAGGGGAGACGTAAATTCTGCACCGGGGGTTCTTAGATTCTTAGCACACAAGCTCAGGCGTGTTGAGCGACTGTGTAACGTGTTGAAGCGTTGAAATAGCGAGCTGTTCGCACATGTATCTTCTGGACGTGCTGCACAAAGAGCGTTTGCACATGGAGCGTGTCCAAAATATGTTCAACTTCGACACACCCCGGCATGAAGCTTCGTGGGCTGGAACCGTCGGCAGCCACTGCCGACGGCAGGTGCAGATGATCATCGACGTGCTGCGCTGGGTGGTGGTGATGCTGCCCATCCTGTTCAGCACCTCGGACCGCGGACGGTCTCGGACCGTACGAGTGACATCAGCGATGGTAGGAGGAACCACCAGCATAGATTGTTCAGTCCAACCCCTCTTGCGTCCAGAGCTGATGCGAGAAGGGAAGGATCCAGCCAACCTGCATCTTGGGGGGCTCAGCTGCCTGATGTTTTCCTGTCGTTGCCAAGCCGATGGTGATGAGAAGGGGGACCCACCTTTTACTGGCCTGCCCCAAGAATTTTGGACAGCAGGGTACGTTGGGTGGCGAATTCAAGTAACATGGTGGTCAGTGCAAAGCGTCGTC